CACTATCAAAATCCAAGATGGCTGCCTGTCGGCCATGTTGTTTATCCGATCAGTCTCAAAACTTGTCCTGCACAGCTAATGACCAAGGGGAACCTACATATAAAATTTGAGAAAGATCCCCTTTGATACTTCTTGAGAAATAGCGATAACAAACTTTCACTATCAAAATCCAAGATGGCTGCCTGTCGGCCATGTTGTTCATCGATCAGTCTCAAAACTTGTCCTGCACAGCTAATGACCAAGGGGAACCTACATATAAAATTTGAGAAAGATCCCTCTGGTACTTCTTGAGAAATAGCGATAACAAACTTTCACTATCAAAATCCAAGATGGCTGCCTGTCGGCCATGTTGTTCATCTGATCAGTCTCAAAAGTTGCCCTGCACAGCTAAGGACCAAGGGGAACCTGCATATAACATTTGAGAAAGATCCCTCTGGTACTTCTTGAGAAATACCGATAACAAGAATTGTTTACGGACGGACGACAGATGATGGACGTCGGACCATGGACCACGGACGCAGGGTGATTTGAATAGCCCACCATCAGATGATGGTGGGCTAACAATATCTCGAGTGCAAGTTAGTCACACAGAGAACAAGGAAGACAATAGCACTAGTGCAAGTAAGTCACAGAGAGAACAAGGAAGACAATAGCTCTGATGCAAGCAAGTCACAGAGAGAACAAGGGAGACAATAGCTCTAGTGCAAGTAAGTCAGAGAGAGAACAAGGAAGACGATAGCTCTAGTGCAAGTAACTCACACAGAGAACAAGGAAGACAATCGCTCTAGTGCAAGTAAGGCAGAGAGAGAACAAGGAAGGCAATAGCTCTAGTGCAGGTAAGTCACAGAGAGGACAAGGAAGACAATAGCTCTAGTGCAAGTAAGTCAGAGAGAGAACAAAGAAGACAATAGCTCTAGTGCAAGTAAGTCACACAGAGAACAAGGAAGACAATAGCTCTAGTGCAAGTAAGTCACAGAGAACAAAGAAGACAATTGTGCACCTATTTTTAAATGTTGGTAAGATTAATCAATTTTCGAGAAAATTTACACCGATTTTGGTTAGCACAAACCTTCCCAATAGTTACAGAAATTCATAATACTGTCGAATGTTTAATGAATTGGTCGGAGTTGATGGTTTGTTTTCTTAAATGACTATACATGATATGACAAAACAAAGAAACGCAACAGGTCAAAACAGTTAAAGTTTAATAGCATAAACACTTACAAGTAGTTTACTTCTGTTCCTCAAAAGAAATATCACAATCAAAAGACAATGCATATTATATAGACAATAGGTAGCAAATAAACCATTCTTATGTTATGAGGTTATGTCATATTAACATTTCTATAGAAAGCTTGTGCTAATATTAGTAGATGGTTACATGTGTAACACTCAATTTGTCTTAAGGTTGTAAGCTACCTTATGATATGCATGATTTGTTTAAGAGTTATCTCCCTTCAATAGCATTACACAGTGCAGTGAGCTGTAAATGGCAGCATATATTGGAAGTAACAAATGGTAGGCTACAAGCACCTATCACTTCCTGTCAAGTGTACTTGTATTGGTCAGTTAAAGACTATAACTCATTCACCCCCTGAAATTTCCTAATGAACTATTCCAGCCTTTGAATAGGAAGAGTTTAAATAAATCTTCAGGGGTGAATGAATTAATGGGGCAATTGATAACTGAAGTAACCTATCACTTGTTTTATAAAGGAACACAAATTACACGCATCACAAATTTTACTGGAGAGAAAACCAACTTGGATGTACACTGTACTGATAAAAATATGAAAAATTTACACAAAAACAGAATAGTGTTAACTACTAATTATGTAACAGCAGTTAATGTCAATCATAATGTTAAATATGTATTTGAAGTGTTAACATGATAAGCCATTTTTATATTTGATTATGTCGTCATGAAGCTTAATGTATGTGTACCAGCCATTTTGTCATTTCTGACCTTCTGTATGCTTGCCCCCACTCCCCCTCCGAAAAAAAATAACAATAATCAAAAACATCAGCATCAAATGTGATATGCAATACACTGTAAAAAAAAGTTCACTCACCCAGCAGCTGTGTACTAGTTTAACAACAGACATACAAGCGTTCTGAACATTAAATATCACTTTTGGTGCACGAACAATAGTAACCATTTGTTACTTTTCACTCCTTATTATGTGCTGTTGTGCAATGTGAAACAAGAACACCAACATACATCATTGGAATGTTTTCATAAAAAATCTTTCAAATATACTTAGTCAAAATAATAACCTTCAAATGTGTCAAAAACCAAATGTTTGCTCCAAATTGGTCACATAACCAAATGTTTTATCAATATATGTGATTTTTTATATTGCATCTTTATAAAACAGAATCTTGTTCTATTTCCAAGAACAATGGTACTGTTTTCGAAAAATTATAAAGCAAACTCGTTTTAATTTGCTATGAGGGGAAGTAACCCAATGAAAGTTGTACTATTGCACCTTGGACGAGAATGTTATCATGGTAAAACAATGGGAACATGGACCCTCTATAAAACTTCAGCAAGTCAGTAGCTTTTTTCAACAGGTTCCATTATGAGGTCACAATTGAAAGAATGACAAAATTAATACAAAAAGCACCTACCAGGTATCAATACTAATTTCAAAGTGAGGATGATAAACAAATTAAAGCAAGTTTATTGCAAACTATATTCTCCACACAGTTACTTCGGTGATTAATGCGTCGTTGACTTAAAATTAGAATAAAGGGGTTCATTAAGAATTATAGGTGTAATTACTGTTTCTAAATGATCCCCCCCCCCCTCCTCTTAGTTCATATGTATCATACACACTTCGTAAACAATATTGTAGTATAGTACCTTATAAAGCCGTCATATACTAAAGTACTGGTGTCAACCAATATGATGATAATCATTATGCATTACATGGTATCGAAAAAAAACATTGTTGTATCAAAATATGGGATTTTTGTTTGTTTTGTTTTCTAAAAAAAAAAGCAGTTCTCTACATTTTTTAAGTCTAGTTTCTTTTATTTTTAAGCCATACAAACATATTATGTCTAGCTTTCGTTATTCCAAGCCATACAAAACATTGAGTCAAAAGCACATGACTGAGAGCAGTGTATAAAAATATTAAAATATTAACTATATATCTACAATCCATGTCCCTCTGAGGAACACAGGATGGAAGGTGGGAACAAAGGCAACCTAGAAACGTGGGAAAGAAAATGTAAAAATTACAAAAAAACGAAAAACATTTTATATAGAAACAATACAAGTTGACGGATATTGTATATCACAATAAAATCACAATAAACTTTACCACTAATACTTTGATAACCCACAAATATATATATATATAAAGCATCTCACTTTCCAAATAATGTAGCATACCTATATTAAAATAACGTTATACTGAATGTAAGACAAAATGAAACCGCAAAGAATACAAGACATTTTTAAATACATGAGTGATAAGATAAGAAAATTCCACACAAGGAGTTGTGAATTGGAGAATTAGTCCTAAAGGTTGAAATATATTGTAATAAACGTGTTTGAAAGAGTATTCTATTCTTAATACTTTTTCCATCAAATGAACTACAAGTCTAAATAATATGGGGAAAAGTTTCCCCTCTGATGGCAATTAAGCTTGACAAATGTGACAACAGCATTGTGACATCACAACACCATAATCATGACATGATGCCAGATGAGGAAACCTCCATAGTTCAGTACAAGGTTTTGCCATGTACTGATCCACAAAAATCTTGAATGTCAGTATTTCTGTGTCTACATCTCACAGGGATGATTATTTTTGATTACTATCCTAATGCTCTTTAAATATTGCTGCTATTTTTTGCATGTGTGTCAAAATTGATGAGACATCCTATAATGATACTGTTACACAGGATAAAAGTAACGACAATTGATGATGTGATCCTACTGTGAAGTTCTGACATTTTCATAATCAAGGCATGTGTCGGCCATCTTAATCAAAATTTCAAGAATGTATCTATCAAGTTTGAGAGAAAGACAGTTCTTTCAACTTAAGCAACTGATTTTTCACATGATGGAAGTCTTGCATGCAGAGGTGTGCGATAATTTGAATTTCCCTAGGATAACCACATCTAAAAAGCACAGGTCTAAACGAATTTCAACATTATTGAGATTATGCACAGATTGGAAAGAAGCAGAATTTCCCGGTTAAGAGAAAGGAAATAAAATTAAAAAAATAATAATGAAAAGCTTGACAATGAAATGTTCTGTAGATTCGTAAGCTTTACAAATACCCCGGTACCTAAGCTTCCTTCCTTTGGTGAATTTGTTCATAACATTTCACTAATTAGTTGTTTATTCAGATAATTGAAGACGAGTATTTTAAAATAAGAATTACATAATGTATATTTTCTGAAGATTGAGTTGATTAAATATGAGAATCTCACTGAAACATGACATATAAAGCAGATAAATACTAAAATGCATAATATCATTATCTGCTGGTACCGGGGTATAAATGTATCTTGATTAAAGTTTATCAAAATCAACTGAAAAACATATAGTGAACAAAACTACATAGCACCATTAACTGTGGAACTATTGAAAGTCAAACACCATAGCGGTTTTCTAAATTTGTCGAAATAACAAACTATTATCAAAGAATCTTTTTGAACAAGGCACAAAAACAAGTAGCAACTGTTACATTAATCTTATAGTTACATATTATGTCAATAAATCCCATACAACTTTAATGTATATCTGATAAATAACTGTCTTTATTGTGTTTGAATTTCATAAGACAATATGCTAGATAGTAGATATTTATCCTGTATATACTACACATGATTAGCAGTACGTGTTTCAGTTTGGATAGGTCTTTTTTCTATTGGAAGTCTGGGCTTGTGAAATATTTAGTAAGTTACTAAGACTAGTAGTAAAAAAAAAAAAATGGTTTCCCTGGGCAAGCCACAGGGGTTCGTTACATATGTTTAAAATACACATATATGCTATACTGATATATATATATGTGCCACATTACACATAAGCATACATGCTGTGACCCAGATCAGTATAGCATGTGTATTTTAACTGACATACATGTCGTACAGGTCCATTACTAAGTATGTAATTTGTTATACATGATGTATTGATTTTGATAGTACAGCAAATTTTTCATATTGTGTACTTGTAGTAGTGACAGAAGTCGGGACATCTGGCTGTGTTATTATCACCAGTAAAAGCTGGTAATGAGGCCTACAGATAATCCTAGGTCTATTTTCACTAATGTTCTTGTTGCAAAACCCCCCAAAATAATCTGATAATATCACAATGACTTAATACAGTATCTCATCGGTCTAGAATGTGCATTTCTATAAATTAGTAAAATTACTACAAAACATATTACCGGGTAGCGTATTGTGTACAATTATTTGACTAGCCTTGGCATGTTGAACATGCATCTAGTTTTCAATAACTGACCGACTAGATTTAAGATATATTGTATATATTATGGTGTCCATACATAACTCAGAAACTCCATTTCTGCATTTTTGCATCATGAAAACACAATTATCTGTGCACATAAAAATTATTGTGTACTAATAGGTATATTTGCAAGATGATGCAAGTGTAAACTTTACTTCAAAAAATACAATGACATTCCCTCACCTTAAATTGAAAAGAAAAAACCCCAATTATATGTGAACAACCATCCCTTAGAAGATTTTACTCTCTCTTTTTGCTTCTTGTGTAAAATAATGAGACAAAAAGTGTGAACCAAAAGTGCTCAGAGTACAATAATGAGACAAAAAGTGTGAACCAAAAGTGCTCAGAGTACAATAATGAGACAAAAAAAATTGCACCAATGTAGAGATTCTTAACCATTTCACCCCTAGATAACTTTAGTAGACTCTACCACACATTTGTCTGGGTGAGTCCATTATGGTCTACAGTGGTGAAAGGGCTAACGAAACATTCAAGATATGTTTTACTACATACTGATAAAAAGACGAGACCTTCTGTCAAGATAATTTCTTTCCTAAAATTGTTAAGAAAGACTCCAATTACAGACAAAATGGCACCAACATTTCACTATATTTCTACCAACATAACAATATAAAACTGGCTCCTACAAACACTACAAACAAGCGTAAACCCCCACAAAAACTTTGGATTACCTCCCTTCACTAAAACATCGACAAATTCAAAACTTTTGAATGACATTTTTTGTAACTATTATATCTTAATTAGCACATTCTAATGTATTACTAATTTGGTATCATTATTAAAATGAAGAATTGTGGTGTTTTAGCATGATTTTCATATCTAATATTACAAACGATGCTAATGCGAGAGGATTACATAACAAAGTGTATACCCAAAACTAATGGCGAAAACAAAATTAATACAACAACATTGTAGGTCAAACATCAGAACCTTTCTTATTTCAGTAAGTATAGAACTAGGCGTATGACCTAAAACATCCTATAGTTTCCTCATCAAGTATAAAATTTGCTACAAATGAACTATTTTTGAAAAATGTGCTACAATTTCTTTTACACTACTACACATGAACTAAAAGTAAAAAAAACGAATATATAAATTTGAACTATGGAATAATAGTTGTTTTATCACAAAAGGTATCACACAAATTTTGCATACACTCTCATTTGTTGGTTCAGTTTCAGTAACTACACAGTAACAAGCTAGACTACGAGTATTTTCAGTACATGTAAACTCAATACAAAAGTTAAATGAAAGCACAGATCCTGAATCTTGGCATTTTAATTAGTGATTTAGGGAGAACATAATACAGAACTACCTAACAAACCCTGGGGAACACGAAATCAAATGTTTTCAGTGCATAATATGTTATAAGAAGTTATTATGCACCGTGTTGATAAAAGCGTTCTTACCAGGGGACACAAACTAACTTTTTTATAAAAAAGAATTCACAATCAACAACATAAACATTTTCCTAAATTTCTATTTAAATTGCTGGTATTGCTTCATAATAATTTTTCATGAGAAAACAAACTACATAAAGGCCCAATAGGCCTGTATCACTCACCAGTAATATATTGACATTATGTTTAAAGCTCATGATCAACTGATCATAATAATATCAAGCAATCAAGAAGCTACACCATATTTTATCACTTATTTGAACAAACTTAAAGTTGAACAACTCTTCATCCCCACAAGCTACATGTCAAATACAATATATCATTATGCTGGCATCAAGGTTGTTTAGAAATAGTTTCAAGTTTCTAACACATTCAGACCTGTAACCCTTGAATACTTGGAATGGTATTATAGTAAAAGTACTTTCACCACATCTAATCACTGTGTCAATGTGATTTATCTAAACATCTTAATAGTCCCTCATATCAGAAAGCTACATACATTTATACCCTGTGATCTTGAATGTACATAAAGGGAAACCTATTTGCACAAATCTGTTAACATATTACCCTTGCAAGCAACCAGCCAAATAATGTTACTTTTAGTGTCAACGTTCTCACATTTTACCTAAAAATGTATCAAGGCAATGTCTTTGAACAGATTGGATAATCCTACTCTTATGAAGTTATAGCAAATATGACTCCAGTCATAGCAACACAATATGTGTGCTGGACAATGGATGCTGCACCTAGGAGTAAACTCACAGGCAATTTATAACCAATTCAAGAAAGCAAAAATGAAGCATCGTTGTCTTAAGGCATGGTATATACTATCCGAGTCTCAAGTTAGCTAGATTATGAAATATCACTGGCTGTGACGAGAAGTGCAATGATGCCTATCTGACAGCATATATATTAACCCATTCACCCCTGAAATTTCATGATGAACTATTCCAACCTTTGAATCGGAAGACTTCAAATGTGTCTTCAGGGGTGAATGAGTTAACAAATTAAAACAAAAACACTTTTCATTTATGCCAGTCAGCCTACAACTATATCACCTGAAATGTTTGCATTGTGACTCGAGTTTAATCCGATCACGGATAGTTCTGAAATCTCTTCTTCTATAATCTATAAATAAATATTTGTATATTTTTTTTTTTTTAAGGCTGATTTACTCGGTGAAAAACGCTAGCATTTCCAGTATATATCATACATTGACATCAACATTCACCTTTGAAACATCCTAATTCAATTTTTCTATGCATGGTTACACTTAAAGTCATATCTGCTGAAATATACTTCACACATTTAGTTTGAACATTCTTTGCAATGCTCAGTTAGATCTTCCTGTAAATGACAAGTGTTTGAAGGCTTTAAAGCAATCTTTTCCAAAATCACTACAGAATTAAACCCGAAACCTTTTGCTATAGAAAACAAGTCTCTATAAACTTGAGGTGAGAGAGATCTTGTCACTGTATTGTTACCATAAATCAGTTCAGCTCCAGTTGCTCCAGGAATGGGTAGTCTTACGGGGCACTACCAGTTTGATTCTTTGCTTTCCTTAGAAAAAATACCCTTATGTTCCGTCTCTCCAGCACTGGAGATGACCATGTCATTAGAATGTCACAGTCAGCACTAAAACTAAAACGGTGGCAATATCTGCCCCTCAAATATCTGGAGATGGACATGTGTTCCTAACATCACACAGCACTGGAACCATCACCAACACAAGTAGCACTATCTAGTGTAAATCCTGCTCCTGACCGTGGATCAGTCACCGGTCAGATTTTCTGTCCACTTCGGGCTTCCTTGTGAAAGTGGAGATGGGGGGAAGCAGTGCAGGTGTTTCCGGCACAGCTTGAGGTGAGGTATCTGAAGAATAGTCAGGTAGTGGAATGTTTTCAGGAGCTATTAAACATCGAGCACAATCTGTAGTTGTGCATTTGGAAGAATTTGCACAACAAAATGTTCTTGTTCCTTCTGATGTTGCTGGTGGTGTAATAGAAGCAATTGAAGACCTAACTGAAGGGGTCTCTACAACAGGTAGGTGACCTGTTGGCTGTGGAGTAGCCGTACACATGGTGGTGGTGGTGGTGGTGGTGGTCAGAGATACAGAACGTTGGGGCCTGGCAGTAGGCTGAGGAGACACCACAGCATCACTTGTCAGAACAGGCCGTTTGTGAACAACATACTGCATGAAGACATTGGAATAACTGGGAAGATTTCCTCCCTGATCAGGTGATGTTGGAGTTTGCAGGTTTGAATTAGGATGCACAGCATTCAAAGGATTGTCGGAGACTTCATGTTGTTGATCTCCCACACGTGTGTCTGATCTACAGTACGAGTATGAACTGTACATAGGAAGTCTAGGCTGGAACATCGGCAAAGGACAGAGACCAGTTGTGCTGGCCTGGAGCTGTTGCCTCATGGCCCCAGTCCAGCTGAGGATTCGGGGATCCAGGGAGGACATGAGGCCGTGCTGCTGTAGTGGAATACATCGGCTGTCAGGGTAATGGAAGAACGGTGGACGCCAGAACCTGTAGCTGTTTAGGGGATGCTGCAGTAATGGAGGTCTGTATGGAAAATATGGATTTGGTGCAGCATAATTAAGACGTGGTGAGTATGGCCAGAAGTTTGGAACATACGGTGGAGGTGACATTACCCATGGCTTGGGAGGGCTGTAGCTCATAGGAGCACATGGACGACCATCCTCTTTGCCAACTTCTGTAGCCAGCATAGGCTGTGATTGTTGTACATACTCTGGTTCCATGGTTGGTACAAGGATGTCTACATTAGACGATGCTGTAGAGATATTTAACTGTTCTGCATACACGGTAGTATGTTCTCCAACTATGCTGCACTGTACTGAACTTTGCTGCTGTACAACAGTATCCGATTCCTGTGAGCAATTATCAGAGTCACTATCCTGGGAGGACGTTTTAAAGCAATCGCTATCAACTGATGGTGTAAGCTGTGCTTGTGTAAGACCATCCTCTGCCATGGGTGATACTGTTTTATCCTCATAGGAAGCCTCACTATCTGTTGATAACATTGTCTGCTCTGGAAGATTTGAGATTATTGAGGCCAACACTGGTTGAGGCTTTGAGACAGGTGCCTCGCTCACCGAGGACAAAGATGTCTGCTTAAAAAGATTGGATGTTATTGAGGCCAACACTGGTTGAGGCTTCGAGGCAGGTGCCCCGCTCACTGAGGACAAAGATGTCTGCTTTAAAAGATTGGACGTTATTGAGGCCAACACTGGTTGAGGCTTCGAGGCAGGTGCCTCGCTCACTGAGGACAAAGATGTCTCCTCTGGAAGATTGGACGCTACTGAGGCTGACACTGGTTGAGGCTTCGAGGCAGGGGCCTCGCTCACTGAGGACAAAGATGTCTCCCCTGGAAGTTTGGATGTTATTGAGGCTGACACTTGTTGAGGCTTCGAGGCTGGTGCCTCGCTCTCTGATGACAAAGATGTCTGCTCTGGAAGGTTTGAAATATCTGTAGACATTTCATTTTGTTCCTCACATTTACGTGTCAACAAGATTGCTGGTGTTTTTTCAACAGGACATGATTCCTTCAAGGAAACTTCCATTGGTGGTGGTAGTTCTAAACTGCTGCTAGGATCGGTGTTGATACTCTGAATAGAGGTTACCTGCTGGATGTTGGTTCCACAATGGTTAGAAACTTCCTCATCAGCCAGATCAGAACAGTCTAGACTTGCATAGCTATTCATCCCTGGAATTCCTTCACTGGTTCTGGGTTTTGATGACACACTCAGGTTAAGTGGACTGTTCTGAATAAACTTTGGTAATTTTGCCCATATATTACCGTCCAATTCATGTTCATCAAGTTCTTCCACATTGCTGTCCAATGGTATTTCACTTACAGATTCAGGTGTATTTTTATACATGCCATACACATAGTCTGTATAAGGTCTGTCAGCAGATGGCATTACAGGTGCCTGATCTTGTAGTCCAAAGAAGTCTGCCACTGGAGAGACTCGGGGTGTAGATGTTTTGACTTGGGGTTGAGCATGTGGTATTTCTTCTGTGATTTTGGATTCCAACACCATGCTGTCAGGTTGTCCTGGCTGGCTGTCGGCGAGGCCGGAATTACAATCCTGCAAAATATCTGACTTAAGAAAGTTGCTGATATTGACCATCTCTGCCTCATTCCCATCTGATTCTTCTTGGCTATCAGGAATGAATTCCTCCCTACCACCCGCGGGCACAAAACCTTTGGTGTTTTCATGACCAGAATCTTCTTGACTATATCCTATTAATTTCTCAAGTGGTTGGGTTTTTGGATCATTGTTTATTTCAATATTCTGGTTAATTGAGCTGGGCAAAATTTCCTCTGGTGAATTTCTCTGCGATTCCAAAGATGTCCCATCGAAAAATGTATAATTTGATTTCAAAGCCACGTCATCATTATCAAAGCATTCGTAGTAATTAGAGGTGGTGGTCTTTTGGGTAATCTTGTCACTGTTTAATTCCTGCAACTTCAGTTTATTTGTAGCAACGTCTGCACAGCTATCCTTCTGTTTAGGGAACTTTTCTTCACCGTCAGCCTTCAGTTTTGAATGCAATGCTTTTGAATGATGCTTTCCAAGGGATGCATTACGAATGCTAGTTTCTTTAAACTTTTCAAAGTGCTCGCATGGAATCAAAGTTTCATGGTCATCTTTTCCCTCTTCTAAACGTGAAATGATACTCTCAACTTCAATGTCATGACCTAAGTCCATGTCCCTATCTAATCTGTAATTCAAGTCTGCGCAGTACTCTCCTATCTCCAACAGCTCATTGTCACTATTTTCTCTGTACTCTGCCTCAAAGCTTAAATTACACTTGCGGCTGGAGCCCTGGGAACTGTCCTGTTCCGAGCTGCTTGTCTCATCCTTCCCATTGACAGACGTGAATACATCTCGCTGACACAGAAGAGCACATGTGTTGGTAGCTAGCAGCAGTTCCTCCTCAGCATCAGCACCAGTTTTTTCCTCAGCACCGATACAGGGTACAGTTTTTTCCTCAGCACTGATACAGGGAACAGTTTTTTCCTCAGCACCGATACAGGTTACAGTTTTTTCCTCAGCACCGATACAGGGTACAGTTTTTTCCTCAGCACCGATACAGGGAACAGTTTTTTCCTCCGCACCGATACAGGGTACAGTTTTTTCCTCAGCACTGATACAGGGTACAGTTTGTTCAACTCCCACTTCCACTTTATCGTGACATTTTACAGATTCTACTCCTTGATGAATGTCAAGTTTATCTGATTGATATATATCAAGTTGGCAAGACATATTACTTAATTCAGCTGGATTTGGGATTGCAGTGTGGTCGTGCTTCACACCTTCTAAGTTTTCTCTATAATTCAAGTTTACAGAGTTAATGGCAATCTTTTCTTCGTTCGCAGGTGTGTCACAAGAACCAGAAGAACTGCTGGAACTAGTACTTTGTTCAACCTGTCCCAGATTGTTGTCCGTCAAATCCTTATCAACAGTTTTCGCCTCAATGTTGTTAGGATCGTCATCTGTGCTGTTCTCGGGTACTTGTCGAGTGGCAGCAGTGAAATATTTTCCATAAATTGGTTCAGAGGAACCCTCATCCTTGTCTGTGAAATCCCATGAGCAATCCAATCTTTTTGAGGATACACTGGTGTTAGCTGGGTTCGCTTCCTCATAGCCATACAAGCTTTTACTGTAGATCCTGTCGCCTGTCATATCTGGTTGGTCTATAGATTTACTTGATACGACCACACCAACATTTTTAGTCGTTTTGTCTTCTGAAGCATCAAGATGCACACTGCTCAAATTGTCTATGTAGGTGTTTTGAGTGTTGATTTCACTACCTCCAGTATCCTGTGTGGCTTCTCTCCTGATTTGCTCAGCAGGGGCTTTATGTCCACTTGTTGAATATGGAGTATCGTTTTTTGCTTCTTGGAGAATTTCTGGTTCAGAAATTTTAGAAGCAATTCCGTCTTCATATGATTTTGAGTTTTGTTTCAACATTTCTTCAAGGGTTGATTTGACATTCTGTTGAATTTCCTCTTTAACTGATATTTGACTGTCCACTCTATCATCCTCTGATATCTGATTGACTAATTCCCGAGTTGGACTTTCTAAGATTTGGTTCAACATGGGACTATCCTCCTGTTTTATTCTTAATACAACTGCAGATTGACTTGAATTGTTATTGGTATTGTGCTCCTCCTTGACATGGACTTTGGTAGGTGTTGGAATCCCTTCTTTTGTTCCAGTGATTGTAATATTTTGACTGACCTCTTTATCAATCTCTTTTAATGCAGGATTTTCTACTTTTATTCTGGACAGATAACCAATCTTCTCACTATCAACTTTTTCCTCCATTACTTCAGACGGGTTCAATTCTTTTGCCCATGGGATCTTCCTGCCCTTTGTCCCGGACAGATGAATGACTGGCACAAATGTTGAAGTATCGACACCCTGATGATCATTAACAATCTCGGAGATGCTCATGTCACAGCTGTCTATGATAGTTTTATCTCCGTGATTGGTCTCCAGTCTGATTTCATTATTTAACTCAGTGTGAGGTTGGGTACACAAAGAATCACTGCTGTCACCATTGATACTTTTCCCATTTTCTGTAGGCAACCCCGTTTCTTTTGTTCCAGTCGTTGATAACTCGGACGGGAGCTTTGTTTGATATCTGGATACCTGTTTTTTCATTTCATCATTTGTGTCTTCTGTAGTAATGTTTGTCATAGGTTCCTTAGGTATGTTCTGAATAAGGTGACCTTGTTCATCAGAATGGGATTCCTTTACCTTTGTCCCAGTTGTCGGTGACTTTGTTTGTACTTGTGCTAAATCTGTTCTTTTATCATCATCAGTAGCATCCTTCATGCTGTTTGTCACAGGTTCCTCAGCGATGTTCTTAACACGTTGATCTTGATCATCAGGTTTGTTGTCAAGGTTATCAGGTTTGTTGTCAAGGTCATCAGGGTTGTTGTCAAGGTCATCAGGTTTGTTGTCAAGGTTATCAGGTTCTTTAAGCACTGACACTTCCTGACAATGGAACTCGTCCATCACGATCCAGTCACTAACATCTTCATTTGAGATATCTCCCTCCTTCACAATAAAGTCTGTGGGATCTCTGTCTGTATCTTCCTCCGACTTTTCCTGTCCACAATCTGCACCAGAAAATAAATAACAGTATTTCATATAATCATGACATCATTATGTAATTATAAAATTCCCAGGGATAATTATGCTACAATTACTACAATTTGATACTGTTGCACAAAGTTTAATTTTCATGAATATGTTCTTGTAAATTAAACAGTAAAATTTAAACTCTGGAAAGTTTAACATCTATTAAATGCCGTTCTTATGATTATGTTTCTTATCTTGTGTGTTCTTTCACAAAGTTTTAACTTGAGACTTGAATGTTACCTGTGAGATTCTTTCAGTCTGTAATTTGTATTATATCATCATAGGAATATCTCTCCGTTAAAATATTATTTAAAACTGGCGATACATACACTCACAATACTAACCGGATATCCTTTTATTTGGAGAGCCTGCTCTATTGCTTTCTGGAGGAGCTGTTGGTCCATTGTTGTCACCCTTGTTGTCCTTGTCTGATGCTAATTTCTCTGAACAACCAGATTCATCCGAGACATTCACTTTCACGGTGAACGGTTCTGATTTCTTTTCCTTTTTTCCCTTAAGCTGTTGAATGTAGTTTCTCAAATCGCCCCCTTCCTTTTCAGCGCTGTCAGCTGTGAGTTTGTGTGCGGTAATGGGTCGGAACATGTTAGGGTTTATACAGTCATCAGACCTCACCGTAGCCGGAGACAATGATGATTCCTTCTCAGAGCTACTGTCTAGTCTTTTTATCAAGATTTTCTTCTTCAGTGTTTCACTACCATCTGTTGGTGTGTTTTCCCTACTACTCTTCCCTTCTCCTGTTACACAGTAACATTCTGATGGTGAATATTCTCTGCTTCCTTGTCTCCGCAGAGCTGTACCTGTAGTCAAGTCAGATGGGGTACTTTCCCTGCTGCTTCTCTGTGAAGATTTTCCACTCTTGACATCGGTAGGGGTGTTCTTGCTCCTACATTGTGAGAACATTTCCTCTTGAAGTTGTTCAGAATGCCTCGTTTCCCCAAGTCCGGTGTTGTGTCGACTCCTGCTCTGTCGCCAATCTCTCCTACGATTTGGACTACACGCCTGACTGATCCTCCTCTTCCTGTTAGTATTTGAAGAACTGATGCCATTTCCTGACAAAGCAGTGTCCTTGTTTGACTCCTGATAACTATCCTTACTAGACCCTTTGGAGGCAGTGTCCTTGTCTTCTGGAGACTTCTCCTTCACCTGTGCCGGAGATGTCAATTTGGATATACGTAAGAGTCTTGTATGTATGTTCGCCTTGTCACCCTCCGCTTCCTTCTCTTTGTCACCACCAGGTTTGACCTTGGAAGCCTACAACAAACCAACCAGCATTAACATTTGGTTTGGTTTGGTTTATTTGTGTTTTACATCCTATTAACAGCTATCGTCATTTAAGGACGTGCCAGGTTTGGTGGTGGAGGAAAACCGGAGTTCCGGAGAAAAACCACTGAACAACGGCCAGTACCTGGCGACTGCCCCTTGTAGGTCTCAAACCCGCGACCCAGTGGTGGAGGGCTAGTGGTAGCAGAATGTCAGACACCTTAACCATTTGGCCACCGCAGCCCCCAGCATTAACATCTTGTTAAACCCTTTCAATGACATTATCCAATGTCTTACTACTTGAATATTTTTCAGCTAGGCATTGGATGAGTTGAATGATCATTAAGTCAGGTAAGATGCAAATAATTGTTTCAAGTCACCAGGACAAAAGTTCTTAAAATTCTATATAACACACAAGGTACGACACATATATTTGTATAAACCATAGGAAGACAAAAATTCTTAAAACTCTGTATGAAGTAAAACACAAAACCCCCCCAAAAAGACAAAAATTCTGCAAAAAGCCAAGCAAGATACAAATTGTTTTATAAAGTCACCAAGTTAAATTTTAAAAATTCTGTATAAAGCAAGGTACGACACGAGTGGACATTGATATGTATAAATCCTGGATTATGTAGAATGGAAAAAGATATAAAGTACATACCTGTGTGGCACCAGGACTGTAGCTACTCTGCTCAGCAGTGTAATCCTCCTGGTCCTCCTTCTTGCTGGTCTGCATGGTTTCAATGATGTCCGCCTTCCTCTTCCTCTCCTCAAAGTCAGGTATGGCCTCAGCAGTAAACTCATCCGAGTCATCAGGACTACAACCAACAATTGGAAAGTCTTCTTTAATTTAAGGATTTCAACACCAAGTAAGGACACAAAGTAAGGCATGAATGACCCCTTTGTCCTATTGTTGGCTTTTAAATAACAAGTGACCTTGGGATCCTGAAATACGAACTCATGTAAGATATTTTTATACTTGACCTTTGTATAAATTTTGATCAAAACCTGTTTAGAAATCTAATTGGTTGGGTCGTTACAATGAATCGGATCAGGACGCGACAGGACAGAAGAGTCATTACAATGGAATCTTGAAGAGACAGGACAGGACAGGTAGGCAGTGTTAACACTATGTGCCCCACATTCAATAAAATGGTGGGGGTATATTATAATAATAAGATTCCAAGTTTTACACTCTTACCTATCAGGAAGACAATCAGGAACTGAGGATCGCCTGAATTTATAGTTGCGGAATCGGCAAGGAGCGCGACCCCTGGATTTCTGTGACTTTGGGACATCCCCATTCTTTTCTCTAAATGTAGCTGTGGTTAAGTCTCTCATCAAATCTTGTAGATTTCTGAAACAAATACAGGATATATAACATCGAAAATCTAAGGAAAACTATCAATTGTAAGATAAAGGTTGGCATGTGGTAGAACTATCAATAAGTTTTTTATTCAGTTTTTCAATACTTCTACTTTCAATGGAGCGAATGATCCCCTATTTATGAGAGGAAAAAGAAAACTGTATAAGTGGGATACATAGGTTTACCGTCACTGTTAAAGAAGTATCTTACACTAAATCATCATATAAAGCAAATCTGGAATCATCAAAACAACTGTCAGAATATTTTGTTAAGGCCAACACTACTTCAAGTCCTTAGATTCAAGATTAAACTAATTAAAATTAGACTCGCACTTTTGCTCCACTATCAATCACGTGCACTCCAATACCTACCTTTGGCAAACCTTACTCTTTTGTTCACTCTAAAAATATGCTTGTGTATATATTTTCTAGAAATTTCACTATATTAAACTTTGCAATTGCATTGTCTTTGTAGTGTTTTACCAAAAATTCAGTTAAGAGTCTTGATCATTATGTAGGTCAGTGCTCTCCCCAGGCTGTTTTAGCAGCATGACACCATGCTCCTATAATTTCTTGCCATGCTCCTATCCTAGATCTTCTCTGCTATATATTCATAGTAAGTCTAAAGTTACCATGCTGCTTTGAATTTACATAGAGTGCTGCTTTAATAGAAATATTGAAATACCATGCTTCTTTCAAAACATTCTAGGGAAAACACTGTAGGTATAAGGAATATAGAAATGATACCCTCCGGTGCAGAATTTGGTATCAGAGCCTCGACAAAGCATCCATTCTGACCCAAATTTGACACATTTGGATAGAATATCCGTACCCCTCATACCTACATATTATAGACTCTATTACCATATAGTATTGTATAATAAACAGTGGTTACATTTAAAGTGTGCTTTTTTTTTGGTTATTTCAATAGCCTCAACACAGCCCTTTAATTTGGACTGCTTTAAACTATTTCCTACCTGAAAACTGTGTAATTAAGGGAACGGTAGTTAACTGAATATACAGAAACACTGTACATTGGGTACAGGTACAACAGCACTGATCGTGTCCACCACAACTTCACAACACCACAAAACAGTATTTTATATCCATTACCAGGTAGTTTCATTGATGATTATCTTTGAACTTTCAGAAGATGAAGACAGTAGGAAACCCTCAAATCAATCTCATGAATATGATGGTATCACTTGCATAATTCATTTAAGCATTCTCAAATAAAAATGTCTGTTAAGCTCAGAAGGACCCCTATAAATCATATGTTGTACATGTTTATACTATAAGTCTATCGTCTGCTGGATCACCGAACTACTCAGTAGTAAAGCGGGCGTAAAACCACTCAATCAATCATACTAGAAGTCATTACCTGTAGGGAATGTCAAATGACCAAGAGTCGCGGCGAGGTCTCCTAGTGTAGGGGTGAGACTGGACTTTCCTTTCCTTTCGGGATGTCTGGTTGTCTGATCTCATGGCACCAACCTGCACACATTATTGTATCATTTCTAGTATATATTTATTATCATATTTATTATTCAAATTCATTTTTAACCAAATATACACAAAAAGTACAAATATTTCAGACACCTCTAAACAAAAATTTGTTTTGTTCTTTGACATTTTATTGAGTTGGCAGTGAAGGAAAAGATGACATCACGGGATCATTCTGATGGTGTTGGCACAAATGGTTTCTGTGTAACTTTTAAACGAAAATATGTTTCCTTTCTAAAGTCATCTTCTGCTCATAAAAGTCTAAGTCTATGCAGAATTGTATACAAGTTTTAGAAAAAAGACCATAAACAAACCTGGCTACTTTTGTCCGATTCCGGTACCAAGGTCTTACTCAAAGCTTCAGCTTTGTTCCGATCGGGTAACCGGATTGGTGAAAAAGCTATTGATCCTTCACTTGCAGTTTCTGCTGCCTTGGTAGTATTTTCCGATGTTTTAGTAGATAAGACTGATGATGACTCAATTCCTGATGATCTGGCACATGGGACTGGTGATGATGCAGTTTCCGATGTTTTGGTAGAAGACAGCGATGACGATGCAGTTTCCATTGTTTTGGTAGAAGACAGTGATGATGATTCAGTTTCCGATGTTTTGGTAGAAGTCAGTGATGATGATTCAGTTTACGATGTTTTGGTAGAAGACAGTGATGACGATTCAGTTTCCGATGTTTTGGTAGAAGTCAGTGATGATGATGCATTTTCCGATGTTTTGGTAGAAAGGAGCGATGATGAGGCAGTTTCCGATGTTTTGGTAGAAGACAGCGAAGACGATGCAGTTTCCATTGTTTTGGTAGAAGACAGTGATGATGTTTCAGTTTCCGATGTTTTGGTAGAAGACATCGATGACGATGCAGTTTCCAATGTTTTGGTAGAAGACAGTGATGATGATTCAGTTTCCGATGTTTTGGTAGAAGACAGCGATGACGATGCAGTTTCCAATGTTTTGGTAGAAGACAGTGATGATGATTCAGTTTCCGATGTTTTGGTAGAAGACAGTGATGATGATTCAGTTTCCGATGTTTTGGTAGAAGACAGTGATGATGATGCATTTTCCGATGTTTTGGTAGAAAGGAGCGATGATGATGCAGTTTCCGATGTTTTGGTAGAAGACAGTGATGATGATGCATTTTCCAATGTTTTGGTAGAAGACAGTGATGATGATGCATTTTCCGATGTTTTGGTAGAAGACAGCGATGATGATGCAGGTTCTGACAGATTTGTAGATGAGACGGGTGATGATGATGCAGGTTCTGACAGATTTGTAGATGAGACGGGTGATGATACAGTTTCTGGTGGTGTAGTAGCTGACATTTTTGATATATTTGCAAATTTTGCAGATGACTTTTCTTTAACACACTTTTCATTTTTATGATTTTCACTACTGCTAGCAATGTCTGTCAATAATTTTTCAACTCTGGTAGAATCAGATGCTTCCTTTGATTCAGAGTTATCTGTTTCAGATGAGGATTTCTCAGACATGGCACAATTTGTTTTACTTTTCCTAAGAATTTTGTCAGAAGAATCACTTTTAACTGTGGATGATGAATCCTTCTTTGGTGCATAAGTAACTGTACGAGTAGTTGTTGAGGAATCCGACAGGTCACTAGAATATCCAGAGGAGGCTGCGGTGGACTGGGGTGGTACAATGTCTGCACCACGGTTTGATGATGAAGAAACAGCACTAACAGCCCTTGTCCTGTCCATGAATGATTTACCAGCCAAAGATCCTTTCTTAGGGACAAAGGCTGAATCTGGAACATATTTCATGCTTGCGGGTAAAGATGATGTGCTTGGTGAAGCTGGTTTTGATTCACTACTAGCCAACTTTTCTGTAGAACTTGCACTGTGGTTGTTTTTCGCAAAACACTTCTTTTCTGATTTTGTAGATTTTGTAGATGATGTTAGGCTGTCAGTATTCCTGTTACTTCCCCAACTTTCGTAAGACACAAAATCGCTTAAATGATCCGAGGGTTCAAGGTCAATATCAGGGTCATGCTTCCTGGTGAAATCTGTTACACTCGGGGAGAGATGCTTCCTAGCAAACTCCACCAAGCTCGGTGAGAGATTTCTTGTGAGCTCTGCAATACTTGGGGAGTGAGAGCTTTTTTTGCTCTTGGTAGAATCTTTCTTCTGTCCATTTAATTCCTCCACTTGGCGCTGGTCCGGGCTTTCAAACGACTTCTTATGTACCACCCTGTTAATGGTGGTCATGAGGAGTGTTTCACTGGGTGTCAGTCGACTAAACTGTCCATGGCTGTATGATAAAGACAGGAAAACATTAAAAATGCAATTCATACTAATGTCAAAGTTTTATTTTAAACACAAACAATGTATGTTTAAACATGTTGCAACGTTTCAAGACCAAGTCATACCATGACAAAGGGACCAAGTTGGTCTTGAAATGTTACGACATGTTTAATACGTACATTGATTGTGTATAAAGTAAAACTTTGATATTTTAAAACTGATGAATCTTATTTAAGGTATGTAATTGATACTGTAATCATTTTTATTAATATATAGATGTTAACATGAGTTCAAGAGACTACATGCATAGAAGTGGATTTTCTTTATATTTTGGTCAGGGGAGAAGTACTATATATGTATATACTTCCTTTGCCATCAGTCAAATATATATATTTCATTCAAACAACACCTAATTTTTAAACACTTACCCATGCAGTGACTGTCTGATGGTCTGATCCAAGGTCGCAAGGTCGACACGAGCATCCCCACCGAGATCGTTAGGAATGGTGATCCTCAACTTCAGCTCCCAACCTGCTCGCTCAACTTTTCTTGTGCTATTCACCACTAGCTCTCCATCGTCAGAATCAACATCCTGTACAGATTCACCTGAACTTGGGGTGGCAGGTTTGCTATCTTTAGCAGAGGAGGAAGCAGAAGAAGCATTTTCCAGAGGTTTAACAGGATTAAACACAGAGGATCTGTCCTCAGCTGAATGAATTTTTCTTTCTTCAAACATTTGGGAATCCACATTCATAGTGTTCAATTTAGGATTCTCCTGTGCTGCAGTTTCTGTCTTGAAAGGTTCTAGTCCTGCTGTGTTCGTAGGTCCTGTTTGATTTATGTTGGGAGAGGTTTGGTCAGGAAAGGGGAGATCACCCAGTCCAGGAATTACTGTTTTCGGTATATCTGACCTTTCTCTTTTTGCAGGTTGTATTGCTTCTTCTCTTGCATATCCAGCTGTGTTAGACAATTTAAGTGGATCATACACAATTTTTGAAGTTTGAGAATTGTCATACAAGTCTTTCAGAGGGAGATCACCCAATCCAGGAATAACAATTTCTGGAGTGATTGATCTGTCTCTTTTGGTAGAGTGAGGTGTTTTCTTGCCAGAAAACTCAGCAGTTTCTTCAAGTTTTAATGGATTATAAACAACATTTGAACTTCTGCAATCTTGATCAACCTCTGACAAGGGGAGATCACCCAGTCCAGGAATAACAATTTCTGGTGTGATTGACTTCTCTTGTGCAAAAGACTGTGTTCTTGAATCTTTAACAGCTAACTCACCAGTTTCTTCAAGTCTAAGAATCTTTGAATGACCAGATTCATTGTCTTTGTCAATCAAAGGGAGATCATCCAATGCAGGGGATACGCGTTCCGTTGAGGATGATCGTTCTCGCTTAGCAGATTGTCTTTTGATCCGTGGAGCTTCTGCAGTATTTTCTTTGGAATAAACATGGCATATCCTATTGGAGCTCCCCGGTATCATGAAACCAAGGTTTACTGATGGCAGATCATCAAACTTCAGAACTTCAGTTGACCTTTCAGTATTACTGGATTTGGAATTATCTCTGTCATACTTTTTCTGAAGTCTTTTCTCAATATCCTCATCGGTCTTCCCTTTAAAGCCAGCAAATGATTTGGCCGAGTCATTTGATCTTTCTGTGTCAGAGCTGAAACCTGGACTCTTACTCTGATTCTTGTCAGTCCAACTCTGAGGACTGCTTCGTAGTTTGGCAGCAGCAGACTTTCTAATGGATTTCATAATACTGTCCAGAGGGCTTTCTACCTTGTCCCTTTTTCGGAGATGTTTTCGCCTTTTTTCTGGTGCAGTGTTAGAATCCCTCTCCGCGGAGGAACCTCTGGAGGAACAGCAAGAAGAACTATATGAAGTCTTTTGAGAACTTTGGTCAAGGAAACGAAGTTCTGGTACAGGATTTAACATGACATTCTGTTCTAACATTGGTCTATTACATGAAGTATCTTTCGGTTCTTCCATCAAACTCTGATTATGCTTATGTCCACCTGCAGATTTGTTTTCATCTTTTGATTCAGTTTCTTGTAAAATAACGTTGCTTGAAGTATTATCTTCTGAACAAATTTCTATTGATGTTCTGGATTTTGCATGTTCAGTTGCTTTTGGAGGTTTAGATCCTTCAGCCATACTTGCTGGCAATGTTCTGATATCTTTGTCTGCATCATCTACATGCTTGATATCTTTGTCTGCATCATCTACATGCTTGATATTTTTGTCTGTATCATTTACATGCTTGACTGATGGGTGTACCGCACCATCCTTTGAAGTTTTCTCTACCTTGGATGGTAGTGGAGCGACAACCAACATTGCCTTGGCATCATGGATGGGTTCAGGAGTGCCAGGTGGTGGGACATTCACATCAGATGATTGAAGGGCAGGACATATTTTGACATCAGATGATTTTAGGGCAGGCGATTTTCTGACAACAACTGATTGTAGGGCAGGTGAGATGTTGACATCGGCTGATGATCGCAGATCAGATGAGGTGTTGATATCAGCTGATGGTTTTATAGTGATGAAGTTGGAAGCAGCTTGTGGCGTTAAAGTAGAAGTAGAAGCAGTGTCTGTTTTTGAAGATGTTTGTCCTCTTTTAGGTATCTTTGGCAACTTGGGAATCCTTCCCAACTTGGACATGTCCGAGCTATATAACCCAGGCAGGACATCTGCAAAATAATCATACAACTTAGTTTGAAACTTTATTTCATAAACAGCAAATGACCTGTTTTCAAATATTATATCTTGGACAAAACAGGTTGAGCCTTTTTTCCTGAATTCAAATTATTTCTAGGGTTCGATATGAGTAAAGCCTGTATTACAGTAAATAACACACATACTGAAATATTGCAAAGCAGTGAACGATTTCAAAATCTTAGTCTTCCAAAAGAATTTGGCACTATTTCAATGCATTTACAGGGTTAATCGAAAGGCAGCTGTCTATTTTTATTTTTAGTTCTGCAATACTCACGACACATGTCTGCTGATCTAGAACTGAGCATTATCAGCAAGATCAGTGCACTTTTCATGGTTATTTTGCAATAGTATCATATGCTGGCATGAAATATTGTAATATTATTTCACCTCGTTATAATCTTTACCATTCACCATTTCATTTGAGGGAAACTGTACTTTCTTCCAAGATAACATTTCAAAATATCTTCATGCAGTAAATTTGAGCTTGAGCCAGTTAAATATAATGTATAACATTCCCTGTAATAATTTGCATTTAGGTCTTCAACTCTACTCCATCAATATCCCTTTATTTCTAAGTACAGTGTATCATTAATTTCATTCATGATCCATTAGAGCTATTCCAGTCGTGATCCATTAGGGCAATTCCAGTTATCAATGTAAGGGTCAGGAAGACTTTTCTGAGATACCATTACAACCATCCATAATACTTTTTTCCCTAAAGGTGGGTTGGATGAGGTAGTGTCACTCAGTATACATACAAATGTTAATACTATTTGAGGACCCCACATAAAAAAGAGCAATTATCAGTTGTAAGTAACCCTGTATCTGTTACATTAATATCTAGAAGTCCTTTAAGCCTTCAAGTACAGTCGAACCTCGTTATCTCGAAGTCAACGGGGTCGTAGGAAAACTTCAAGTTATCTGAGTGTTCGAGTTAAGCGGGCTCATATATTTGGTATGAAATGTACTGTTTGGACATAGAACTAGCAGTCGTTGATTTGTACTAATAGCGAATGTTTATAATCAATTGATGGATGATATACGTAATCAATAGGACACATACATGTTTGTTATTTTATAATAAACACGCTTACAAAAACAGGGCAATTTTTTTTCCAAAAAAACGTAACGTTACTTTCGTTTAATGCGATGAAAACGGTTGGACCATATTGCGAATTCGTTATGAAATATGGACAGGCCTAGTAATTAAATGTGGATTTGGCTAGTCTTTGCAAAGTCTTTCTAAGTCTAAAATATTTGCAATTTCGTCAAGTTTTACCTCTGAAGTGTTACTTTTAACATAGAAATATCCTGCTGTCTCCGACCTCGTACTTTACGATGCGGAAATGAAAGTGCGCAAGTCTGAAACAAATCACTGTAATGGAGTGTACGCATAGTTGATTCTTTAAATGAAAACACACACAAACAGATTATATTGTACATGTAACACATTGATTCATAAAGGCCAAATGTGACACCTGACACCTCAACTTGATGTAATCAACAGCAATTATCGTATTGTTCTTAAAATCTCACGATTAACTTTCAAAGCCAAACTGGCTCCTGTAAAAACACGAACCCGTGAAGCTGTCCTATGTTGTGATTTTAACTGTGGAACTCTTCTATGCATGACCACGCTTTGTGATCAATTTTCCGGTTTGGACTGTCGTCAGTTTGGGTGTACAAATCATTAAATGAAATTGCAGTAAGTACAGAATACCGTTGATCAACATTGACAAAGTTTGTTTTTTATTATGAAGAACATGGTTTTGACAGTCGGCACACTTTACAGTCTTAAGCTTTATAGTAAATTATTTTTATAGATTTCATGCTAGCACGGAACGGCGAAATGCCGTAGCTTTCCAATCTATTTGTATCAAAGAATAAATAATTGACAAAATGAAATTCGAACCCTATTTCAGTAGACGATGTTTTGATGTTGGATTTACGCTATTGAAACCAATATCTTACTTCGAGGTATCCAAGTTTTTCGAGTTTTCAGGGTTCGAATTATTAGAGTTTTATTTACTAAGATAAAGAAGAGATTTGGTCGTGACCGGAGATATACCTCGAGATAAACAGGGTCTTCGAGTTATAAGAGTTTGAGATAACGAGGTTCGACTGTAATTACTTCCCCGGACATCACGCAGTTTACCCATATAAGAAATGGTGAAATTCATCCGTATTGTAATATCTTGCCACTGATATTAACAGTTTATGTTACCAATTAACGGGTAAAGAAACTCATTATAGATCACATGCATCTTTAATAACTTGATAGAGAAATACACTTAAAGTGACAAAGCCCGATAATCTGAAAACAAATTGTTAGTAAACAAGTAAAAGTGAAACACTGAACATTTTAAAACAAGTGATGCATATAGTTATTAGTAAAAAAACATGAATGAGTAAAACAAATGATTAATACAAACATCAGGGTTCGATACTAACACTAGTCTGCTAGACCTGGACTAGTAGATTTCAGCAAGGACTAGTGAATCACCTTACCTAACTGGTCCTTTGGACTTGTGAAAAAGAATATTGCTTTTTAGATTTTAGAAAACTGCTTAAAATAAGATACATTACATAATAATTGTCAAAATTTTCCTAAAATTTATTTTAAGGCAGTAGTTAATAAGTCCCCTACAGTCGATTACTTTTGATGTTTCGTGCTGTAGGTCGCAGTGTTTCCTAATCGGAAAATCTTAAGACTAGTTACATTGAGGTAGGACTAGTAAATAATCTATTCAACTAGTCCTGTGAACTACCAAGCAAAACAAGTTAGTGCACGTGTCTAACCCTGAAAACATGTGTGAGTATGAACTAGGATATGAATTGGGATGACCAGGAACAAGCAACTGAGTGATTTTCATGTGTCACCTTCTATTGAACACTTTTCACGATTGGTTCCGACCCCTGATTTTATCTTTCGCTTTTCTTTGACCGCATTTGTTCTTTTAGCAGATGATGACAACGATGACGAAGATGATGATGAAGATGATTTTCCACACTTAAGACCTCTGCATGAGTGATGATTATATAAGCACACATTTGGGTACAGATGGTTAGGATACACAAATATATATATAAGTATTAAACTGAGTAGACATGATACAGGTATAAATACATAATACAACAAAGGTCAAAAAACTTTGATCATATGACATCTGTTTCTATATTTTTTTTCTTTATAGATATAAACCACTAAATATTGTTTAAAGCTGTTTTAAACCAGACCATGACCAGGAAAATTTAACTTCTATATTTAGTGTTCAATAACATGGAATAATGACAAGTAAATTCACAGAGGACGTTTTCACTCCCTACTACACATGTACTTATCATTGAATTAAATATGTCTTAGGAAATAACTTCAGACAACTTGGTCTATAAGTAAACTATTCCAATATACCTACTGGCTTTCCAGGTGAACGTCTATGGATCTACCGTTTAGTTGGAACACTGGTATTATATCTATTCTTCTGTGTTTTTTTCCATGGCATTGTCATGCCATTATAGATAAATCAGTGTTTTCTCCAGGTTTAAAAAAAGTGGAAGTGGGGGGAATATACAAATGTAGGCAGAGCTTCAAAATTTAGATGAGGACATGTAAATGTACACAATCCCTCATTCTGGAAAAAACTCTTTAGGAGTATCCCAAGCACTGTTTCCAAAGTAACGTTAGTCCGTGTCATATGATAAAAGCATTTTTACACACAAGCACATCAATTAATAGTAAGTATCAAATTCAATAAATAGGTTTCTAAACATTTTCTTCAGGTTGGTAAGCATTGATTATGAGAAGGTTCTTGCAATTGCTACACATGCTTCACTGGTAATTTGTCTGATGGAGGTGACAGAGTACATTATTCATACTGTACTAATCATTGATTCGTCATATTGGTTGTGTAACAAGAATCTTTTCATAATCATTAAATAGGTGCTTAATGGTATATGTTGAAAGGCTGGTTGTATTAACATGTTATAGAAATGTAGTTATATCAAACTAGGAACTGTACGTAAAAGGTATGTCCCTGCTTTGATGGAAATAGAGCTACTTAAACACAGTCTAACCAAAGAAAATGAGCCAAATACAAAGTCTATCTAAAGACAGTGAGGTGAACGTGGAAAAGACGGGACAAAAGACGGGACAAAGTAACCTATATATATCTTTATGAATAGGATACAGCCAATCAAGCTCATTACATATTGCCACTACATTGTGACAATTTTCCATTCAAAAAAGCTTTTACCGCATACACAATCACAGTATATAATGTTAGTGAATAATAAGAAAGGTGTTTAAAATATACCTTTTGCTTCCCTTGTTGACACTCAGAGGATCTTTCTGCAGTAAAGATTTTTGTCCCTTGATCTTGAAGGACAGCTTCTTTTCATTGGTCTGTTGTTTCTCGTCGATCTTGGGAACAGGTTTTTTCGATGCGTCTGAATTCACGTTGACATCGCACCACAAACTGGATTTTTTCCCAGAGCTAATTGCAGGGTCTAGTTTTGCCTTCTTTGGGGCACTGTTCACTTGCTCATCACAAACTTTAACACTATTCCCTACTTCACTAGAACTGTAAGCGCGAGCCCGGACTTTGCTGGAGGATGACTTGCTTACCCTTGATGGAGGTTCTGGATGGAGTGTCTTAGTTTGCGATTTGCTAGCCATCACTGGTAATGATATGTCCATTTTCATTGCTATCACAGGGGAACTTTTGATACTTGTTGAAATTTTATGTTTTGGCAATGTCTTTTGATCCACCTTTTGCTTTTTCTTTGAACAAGACTCTTCATACTTTTCTGAAAATGTTTTCAGTCTATCCGGTTTTGTATCGGCCTGCTCCGGGTTTTTTGAAGGCTTAGGAGCAGAAGATTTTGCGACAGACTTTTTGCCGTCGGTAATACCACGGCTGCTTTGTGAACTGGTGCTGGATGTTCTTGATCTACTTTTAATAGATTTTTGTTCTTTTGTTTCCTCCAAGATCTTTTCATAACTGGCAGCCTTAGATGAACAGGCTTCCTCCCGTGGTTTTGCACATTTTTTGTCAGAAGTTTTTGATTTTGAGATGTGCTTCTGGTTACTGTTTGCTAGGTTATACTCACTTTCATTTCCAGATATTGGCTTTTTAGACAGGATAGGTTTTTGTTCTTGCTCTTTACAGCCACTTTGCCTAGTCGACTCACTTTTAGAATGACTATTTCGCTCTTTTTCCTTACAGATAAGTTGTCGTGTTGACTCACTTTGAGAATGACTACGCTCTCTTGGTTTTTTGGAATCAAGCTTTTCAAGCTTAGAACTTATGGTTTTGTCCCTACATGTCTTTGAGACTTTTTTCTCCCGATCATTTTTATGTGGCAACGGTTTCACTGATAAAGTTGATTGCTTCTGCTTGCACCCTGCTATAACCTTTCCTTTCTGTTGCAGATTTTTGTCACACGAGACACTATTTAGCAACTGTCGCATTGCTTCCGCTTCCTGCTTCTGCAAGTCTTTTATTTTTCCTGTCTTTTTTACAGTTGCCTTTTCCAAACTTTTGTTCAGAAGTTCTTTCATATGCATAACTTCTTCAATGCAGGATTCCTCCTGTAATGGTTTTGAAGGGCTTCCCTTGGCACTGTTTTCTGTGTCCATGGAGTCGTCCGTCGGTACACAGAATCTTTTAACAATACGATTCATCTCCGTGTCCGACATCTCGGACTCACTGTCTGAACTCATACTAAAGAGACCATTTGATTGATTTGTCAGTGTTCGAGACTTAGTCAAATTTCGATGCGCTATTGATTCTAGCAGTTTTGCTTGCTTTGTGAATTCTGACTTGATCTGATCGCACAATAGGAGGCTGGTTTTGGGTGGATAACTAGAAAAGTGCCGTGGTGATTCAAATCGTGTTCCTTCCGATTCTGAAGAAATTGAGACAACAACAAAAAGTTATCAACATGTATTAAGTGGTGTAACAGTTGATATGTCAGCTCCTTTCAAATAAAACTTGCTAGAAAAGGAAAAGCAAAATAACAATTTTATCAATACAATTTGAGCACATGTTTTTGTTTCTGCTTTAAGTGAGATGAGAATTCTAAAAGATTACACTAACAATTGATACCAATCTGCATAAAAATGTTTAGTAACTTATCGTTTTTTACTACTTATTGGCAAATTTTGTTTCAAAAGTTAACTTAAAATAATTTAAATTTACACAAAGAATAATATAATTTATTCCCACAGGTCAAATGTGCCATCATAAATGTTCATGGAAAATTTATATAGTCATTTCAACGATTGATGACTTCAAGTAGAACATACCAGTTTGTGTTGTTTCAAAAAAGTTTGATGTACAAATTTCTAAAAATTCAAATTTGTAAGTAATTCATCTAGGCTTGTTCAACTTGCAATCTGATATCACATTCTGATATCACCAAGTTCGTAACTCAAAGATTATTACAAATTCAAAAACCTGTATGCATTTTTCTTGGCAAAATGTTTTCGCTCCTGCGGTAACAAAGCTCTCCTAACTGAGAGATAAAGATTAAATACATACATAAATACTGGTAAAATTGAGATGGTTAATAGGAGTATAATAAACAATCACCATGTCTGGGAGAAGAAGGAGGAGGAGGAGTCTGGAGTTTTGGAGGAGGCTGGGTAGGATGTTGTGGACTAGAGGTGAGTGGACCTGAGGATACAGGGCTTTTTCCTCCATCTAGGACAGGGTCTCTGTTCACTGACTGCGACACTTGAGATATGTAGCCACTGCCAGCCCGTGGGTCCCAGGCATGCTCTCGTGGGCTCCTTGGATAATCTCTTGTGTGGCGTGGATCTCTGTCCCTTGGGTCTCTGGCACGGTCTCGTGGATCTCTGGGATCTCTTGGGGAGGATGGCTGTCCAATTGCACCCATATACACACTACTGTTATGTATTGGCCTAGTCTGGGGCAGACAGTACTGCAGTGACTGGGAAGGAGATGCTGAACGGTTCATAGGACTTGTAACTGGACTTGTTACGGGACTATATAAAGACTGCACGACGTCCACTGATTGTGAGAAGTATGGACTGTCAGGAGTTATCCCTGGGGTCGGGGTCCTGGGGGGTGGGGGAGGAGGGGGAGGAATTAGTGTCCAAGGATTAATTGGTGACATGGGGGCATGCACAGGTGACCTTAGACCTTGGATGGGTGAGGTTGGGGCCATCACTGGAGGTGTCAGGGGTGGGGGAGGCTGACTGGGAAAGAAAGCTGGAAGGATAAGTACAGGAGGAGGGGAAGATGCTGTCCACCTCTTTGGAGCCACCCCTACCAATGGAGAAACTCTTGTTGCTAACCTCATTCCTTTAGTTGGGGAGGGAGGTGGGGGCATATGTACATAGATGGGACTAGGGAAGTTGTGACTAGGGCTAGCTGTAGTGGAATGTATTGAGTTTTCTGAAAAACCTTGATGGGGTACACTTGAGGGAGGGAGGTTGATGTGAAGGGGTTTAGTTTTTTCTCTTAGGCGGGGATCAGAGCTCACACTTTTTGCTAAGCCAGCTGGTGGTATAGTAATTACTGACTGGATCAAAGGATCAGTTTGAACAGCTCCTGTGAAAATAAATATATCTATATAGAAGTGCATCAGTTTAAAATAATGACATTACACCATACCATTGAAAAATATATCAGCATTTTAAATTACCAAGTAACATTTTTATTTAAATTTGAAGAATGGAAAATAGACCAAGTGATTTTCCAACAACCATCATATGAGACAGAGTTGTTTTTTCTTTATTTTGCCATCTAGGGGTGGGGTAGATATTTGACTACAAAAGCCTATACCCACATCAAGAAAAACAGGATCATTTGGTCGGATATGTCATTGTGTCGAAAAACCGAGAGTTAAAACAGGAAAACCTGTAAATTTGGGCAATAAACACAGATTTTGTTTTTATAAGGGCCGTTTATGAGCATATTTTGAAAGAAATTTCCTAATTTTATCGGGCTCTTTAATTTGTTACTTAGATATATATATCCCAAATAATAAATATATATCCCAACTTCAATACTGTTCTAGCAGAAACTATAATTGTCTGCTACAGGATTATCATTGTGTGCTGCATCAAACATCAAACATCATATATCTCTGGACAGTCTTGGTTTATACCATGCTTTCTTGAAGTCCTGGAGAGAAATATGCTGTACAGAATCACAGGATATTGATGTGGCTTGGTCAACCCTGAAACATAAAGACATATCAGTAAAACTTGTTATTTACACACAAAACGAACAACTCATCAGTACAAATATTCCCTATATTATCGGTCCAATGTACCTACAAATTTCATATCAATGCAACCCTTTAAAGATCAAAGTATCAAGCCTATCATTAATCAGTGATTTTTCTATCTCTTTTCCACAGGGGCCTTAGCCTTTTAATTTGGGAAAATATTACCTATAAAAAGCATGATTTTGGGAAAATAAAGCAATTTTGTATTAACTTTAGAACAGCAGAAATTATCAAGGGAAACCCCCAAATTGACCTTAAAAAGTCCCTGTAAATCAACCATACTGTTGGAATATTTCTATCCACTGCTTTAATACATGTATAGCCGAATGTCTTGTTACAATATTACAATCCTTTGGCAGGAGGAATATCAAATAAAGGACATGAATTGCTACAATAAATCAAGTAATTTTTTCCTGCACTTCACAGGTTTCCCCATCGTATATAAGAAATGGTTTAATATAATATTTCCCCATCTTGCTGATTTTGTAATTTCCAGCAAATAAGAGTAACCTTTTGAGGTCTGCTATTGCTATAGGCAGGAGCAGGAATGGCAGACTCACAGGCCCATGTATTCAGAAAATGTCAATATTTTACAAAAGGATTGCATCATCAAATGGCAGAGCCACAGTTTAAGCTGCCAAATCCTTACCACTGGAGTAAGATTAATCAGTCTGTCGTCGATTAACGTCAGAACTCCGGCCCTCTATAATATGCAGAAAATAAGCGACCCGCACCCGGGTCACACTTCAAACTGATATTTTAGAAACAAATCATCACTTTCACACACATGTCATACATGGATCGAAAGATCTATTCTTTATGCACTAGGTGGTATCAATAACATGTTTCAAAGATCATAACGAAAAGTATTTTCCAACGTTTTCTATACCAACCCATGCTTTTAATTGAAATTAGGGCATGAGCAATGTCACATGACTTGACGAGATCTCGCGTTACCGAAGGTATTTCCCAACGTTATGACGTAGGCCGGCAAGATTTTAGTCACGTGGCATTAGAAGGTGGGGCTATAAAAAAACTAGAGTAAAACAGAGTAAGTTTGAAAAAATATGTTTTTAGTGATTGTATTGGTTGTTTGAGGCATGTTATTTATGTTCATCTTGTGCATAAAGAATAGATCTTTCGATCCATGTGCGACATGTGTGTAAAAGTGACGATTTGTTTCTAAAATATCAGTTTGAAACGCGACCCGGGTGCGGGTCGCTTATTTCCCGCATATTATAGAGGGCCGGAATTCTGACGTTAATTGACGACAGACCGATATAAAAAAGTCGATAAAACGTCAGAATAATTCAGACTACAAATCGATGTGATTGTGTATACTTACCCAGCTGGAATGTGAGTTCACTGGCTGTCAGTAGTAGTAACACAACATCCTTCTCTAGCTTCCTAATAGCAACCTACAAAGAGATGTATGAACCATAACATAGTGCACCAACATAAACATACAACACTGACAAATATTAAATGTGAAATATCTAGTAGAAGTAGATACCCTTGTTTAGGGTCTAAGAAATTACGAACATCAATTTGGAAATACTTAATAATGTTTTCAATGAGATTAGTTGGGTATCTTGCCTGATCCTATGAAATACCCCTAAACCATCTAGCACAACTCTCGACTCATCTAACTGGTATGCTTTTTTTTGGTTTCCAAGAGCTTACTAGCCAATAATTTCAAGACATCTTAACAGCTTACATTTATTTTGTGTCATGGCTCATAAAACAGGAAGCTGAATATTGACAAAGATATAATCAATTCTTAATTTAAACATATTCATTTCTAACTCAGCAACATCCCAGCTAGGTAATTATTTCAACTGGAACAATTTCTTTCGTTTTAATCATCTTAAATAATCACTTGGTTTGAGCTTAGTCAAAGCATTAACAAAGTGCAATGGTATAGATGAATTGAAATTATCAATAACATTGATGGAAACATATCAGTTGAAGCACCTACACAGTTGTGCTTTCCTAGGTAGTTCATAACCTTCTGGAAGTGTGACTTGCCCTCAGGTTTGACAGGATGAAGTTCACACACATTGATATAGTAACCATTCCAGTATCCCTCGTGCTTCCTGTCTAACGACGTTACCCTCTGGAGGTACTTCTTCCTCGCCTGAGCTATCGGCATCTTGTGTGTGATGTTGACTCCCTTACCACTGTTGAATTGCAGAGATTAGATAAACAGTGTTAGGAAACAAAGTGACATAATTCATAATCACACCAACCGAGTTAAAAAGGTAACCCAAAGGCCAGTTATTTGCATTCCCTGCACCTCGGGAAAGTCATGACAAAATTAATCGCTCTGTACATGCCAACTTGTGGATAATACAAAACGACTAGCTTGATCTTTTGCTGTACATCAATAGATTCATGCAGCAGTTTAACAGTTAAAGTCAGGTGTCGTTCCTCTGTAATCTTTAAAGTATCAGCCTAGCAACTGTCAAAATATATTCCAGGGGTGCAGAAAACACAAGTGAGTATAACGACTGAAAATTTGAGGATGCTAAATGGCTACAGAAAAACATGAATATGTTTATGAAAGCAGTACATTCTTTTAAAATTGGTGCAAACAATTGAACAGCAACTGGTGGCATCATTTGAAATGTTATTCAATCTATAAACTAGAACTGTAAGGTAAAGGCTTACTAAGGCAAAGCATTGCAAAGCAACCCAGTCTCCCACCAGTAATGATTTCTTTATTGACTGAGCTGTACAATTATTTAAGCATATACTGGTCACTGACATACTTCCTGTACTCCCTCCCCATGCCAAAACACACTAACATACCAAATCTTGTTAGCCCAGATGAACCAGTTTTGCTAAAATTGTCCTATTAGTTAAGGAAAAGACATCAGGACAAAGATTTTTAACAAGCCTTAAAAAGGGTTGAAAAAAAATTAATAATAGCATGATGAACAACATCAGGGGGTAATTACAATGTGTAAACTTTCATTGAAATCGGCACAGCAGTTTATTGAGGCAGACAAAGGTTTTTTCAACCAAGGGCCATAATTCCTTTTAAAAGGGTTGGAATGAAAAGGTACTACTTGGATGCACAACCTCTGGGGACAGTTACCATATCTGTAAAAAAAATGAAATTGGCCCAGTAGATTAAAAAAAGTTGACAGGACAAGAATTTTTCAACAAAGGACCAGAACTCCTTAAAAAAGGGTTGAGAAAAAAACCTGGATGCACAACATAAAGGGGAAGTTATCATATCTGAAAACTTCTGTTGAAATTGGCCGCATAAGTCTTGGAGGAGTTGTCAGGACAAGCATTTTTCAACAAAAGGCCATTACTCCAAAAAAAGGGACAGACTGAAAAAATAAAACCTGGATGCACAGTATCAGGTGGTAGTTATCATATGTGAAACTTTCATTGAAATTAGCCCAGAAGTTTTGGAGAAGTTGTGTGGGAAAGCATTTTTCAACAAAGGGCAATAACTCTGTAAAAAAAAGGTGGTAGTTATCGTATATGGAAAGTTTTGTTGAAATCGATCCATAACTTGAGAAGGAATTGCCCGGACAAAAAGTTTCAGGATTTTTCAACAAAGGGCCACAACTTCGTAAAAATAAGTCAGAATGAAAAAATAATACCTGGATGCACAACTTCAGGTGGTAGTTATCATATCTGGAAAATTTCCCTGAGATCGGTGAATTACTTTAGAAGGAGTTGTCAAGACAAAACAAATCTACTGACGAACAGACAGACACACAAGCTGAACATCGTTGCAGGGGGTATAATAACAAAGAAAACTTTTTAAAGGGACATCACGTGAAAAGGCGTTTTTTTTTTAATGAATGTATGTATTGTATGCACTTCCACTTATGTTACCTCGCTATCCCCATATTCATAGTCCGTTCCAAATGTCCAGTTTGACCACTTGAATTGTTCGGGAAAGCCCGGCTAAAAATAGCGCCGATAACGTCACCTGATTAGGCAGCAAACACAAGTGGTGCGAGCGAGATGAAACGGTTTACAAAGGGGCCCTCAGAGAGGGGCCGTCAGGCAACTGCAACTTCTTACCGCACTATGAAACCAAGTTATATGATTTCTAATTCCGTATTCAAACTTATTGAACAGTAATTATTCATCATCAGAAGTTAATTGCACACTTGCCAATATTAAGAATTTAAATTTATTTAGCTTTTAACATAAATTTGTTGCCAATAAAATTAAACAAAGGATGGGGCACAAGTTTTTACAATTTATCACAGCCTTCTCCCGTGACCGGTACAGGTGGTACGGGGCTAAACACTCCCTCAACAATGGGACAAACCTTTCTGTAAAAAGGAATATTCACGAGACGAATATCCCTTTTCAAATGTTTACATAAAGTGCATATATGCAATGACAAACTACACGCGAATATAAAAAGGAAACGTTTGTGAATTTATTTATTACATTAAACAACTCAATGTCTTTGGCCATTTTTTTTCTAGACCATGAATATAAATCTATGTATACTCTCTTTCCCACTTTCACTGTCTCCAAACGCTAACATTTAGGAAGTCATATTAACCATCACACACAATAAACTGTATGGCAAAACCACTACGTGTACATGTAGAATATGTGTCAATAAGGAACGTGTTGAGATACTTGATAATTATATTTTTTCAATACTTTACAGAGATTAAAGCATACTTTTAAATGGACCTTTTTATGCTGAGACAACTTTTCTTTAATCAGTTCCTTTGGTCCGAAACAGAAGCCGTAGTTATCGGCAGCACGCGCCATTTTTATAACGTAATCAAATATTTTTTCCCCTGTTTTCAATACGTATTCCGATTCTATCTGAAGTCGAAAATTTATTCTTTATAGAGAAAAGGTTGTTACATGATCATACATTCTAAGTCAACATCATATGAAAACATGAACTGTTGAAAAATTACGATTTAAAAAAAAAGTGTTATGCGATCCTATTTACTAGAAGTAGGTTCTCCTTCCTCAGTTATTCATCCTGGTCCGTCATTTTGACATTTTTAATCTAGCTGCGATAACGTAGCTTTCTGACGAAGAGCGATTTTTTTTTTATATATTGCGTCGTCGCGCCAGGGCAGGCCGGGTATTATATTAGTACTAATTTAAAACTTGCATGTCAAAACAAAAAACAATCGTTTAATTCAGCAATATAATTAAATCATACCATTTTACTGATCCCGGTAATATTATAAATTATGTAAATCTAATAGCGCACGTATCTCATTTGACCCCGAGCACCGACAGAGGATCAGAGAACAGAATACGCCGTGGCCATCACAGCAGTTATCCCTTGGGGGGCCTCATGGCAAAATCAAACTAACCAGTCACTTATCCCTTTCGTTTGCATAAACCACTGTATAATTAAAAAAAACACAAAGTAAACTCTCTCCGATACATGCCCATTAACATATTAAACTAAGTTCATCTGTGTTCAAACTCACACAATGATACTAGCGAGGTTAATAGTTTTAGATATTTATTCATAACATAAACAGCGCTAGCATTTCTGTCGATTTTATTTCAGCTTAACCGGCCGCTATCCGGAAGAAAACATGCACCGTACTGACTGCTAGGGCAGTTATTTTCTGCTTTGAATACTTCCCACTGGCAATAATGATTCCGTAACGTACCCCTTGCGCTATCTTTTGACCATTTGGCAACTATTCGCTTCGTAGCTGACACGGTACAACACTTTTCTTTGGCTTACTTCACACGGCCAGTCATTTTGTTTACAAAGAAATGGTGTGCTATGCGCATGCGCTAGTAGAGGGAAATCCCTGAACAAAACGTTGGTCAGACAGGTAGAAATACCGATGATTATCTTAGATTTAATCATTTTTATGAATCTATTTCAGCCAAATCCGATCGGCATTTTCCATAAGGAGTCTCACTTGATATGTTTATGTAGTATTTGGAAAAAAGACAAAAAAAAAAGTTACTTCAGCGTGATGCCCCTTTAAAGAATGGAATATCACCTTTGCAATGAGGCTGATCTATAAATAGACTTTGACATTGGGAGCCTAACAAAGAATGTCATCCGAAGTATTCTCATACTTAACTATATACAGAACCTCAAATTTAAGCACAACTTTAACAATTCCAATGAGTTTAGCTCCAAGTCTTGATTAAATGTTGTCATGAATAGTTAAAGTAATACTTACATTCTGGAAGGCTTTGCATGTCCAGCTTTGGATATCATTTCTACTGAGCAAGCATACAACCCTTTGACTGTTAGATGACCAGTCCATACCACAAAGTTCTGACTCTCGGTCTTGATTTGTGGAGAGATTGGGATTGGTTTCACCGATAGTGGCGACCGCATTGAAAACTTTGGACTAAAACCAGACATATAGTTATTATATGACATGTATAATTCTATGTTTCTAAGAGAACCCTTTTCAAATAGTTTTAATCCATAATAGAACAATTTTCAAACACAGAAAAAATTATTTTACAAAAATATATAGAAATATGTCAAAATGACATGAAAGTCACCCAATCATTCTGTATGATAATTTTCAGATAAATCATTGACCAAGCTACAACTGATATATTTCCACCTGTCAATCAAAATGGTAAACAATGACCAGGTATAAATACATACACATCCTGGTAGACATGCCAACATAAGGAATTAATAAGAAACCATGTGGCAAATATAACGTTAGCGTTGACCGACACCTCGAATATGGGGAGATCTGCGCACTGACATGTTCACCTGCGTGGGCAGAACAGGCAATTGGAATATAACGACGCTGTTTTCACAACAATAAATTTCAGAAAAAAATTAATCTTATATACGGATAAATCTTTCACTTTTTTGTTTGTTATATAATACATTTTTCCAAGTAGTTTTCTGATCGTCTGCAAATCCGAATGAATCAGACATCGACATCGGCAGAGTGTGTACATTTTAAGGTAGTCACTCAAACAGGTCCGAGAAGGACCGCCAACAGCCGAATTCGTCAGACATGAAGAACGCCAAACAATTGTGATTTCAGCAATTCTCCTTTGAAAAGAAAAGATAGGAATGCATTTGGCTGTTTTGAGCCTGTTAATATTTATTTTTCAAACTCAAACTTTTTTCATAATCGGTTCAATTCGCATGGATGTCACCTTGTAAATTCCTGCCGGTTAATAGTATCACGCGAGCTTGACTCTTTGCGGTACACAAACTTGCTAACTTCGCCACTTTACTCATGTTGTTTTGACACATTCCTACTGTCAAGATTGAATAGTTCAGCATGATTTTACACAAGAACCACATTTATACCCTAGAGTGCTAAATATGATGCAACTCTTATGTTCCCCCATACGTGGTATTTATCAATTCACAATGCAACATCCTGAAAAGTTGGGCCTACTTTACTCAAGATTATTTATCAGATTCTATCAATATAATATGGCTTAAACTTCCAACTTTTCATATTTGTTAAATTGGCAATGCAATCAGGAGTTATTCAATGAATATTAGCAGTTTATTGCTGCGAGCATATTTAAAAATATTTTTGAAAAATCCTCAAAAAATTTAAGATAAATAGTCGTGACCAAGGACTGGTTTTGGATTGTTTGTGAGTATTGTGTACACACACACCTTTTTTGACACTTCAATTTTTCTATAAAAAAAGTGTGCACTATACGCAAATATTAACTATAGTCCTTGGTCAGACATAAAATATCTAAATCAATCAATAGCAATAAATATAATATAGCAGTTTACCCCTTTGGGAACCTCAAAGGTGCCTGATTCATTCCCATGTGAAATTTGGAACACCTTTAGGTTTTATGCTATTCCTGTTTAAAAAGGAAATTGATATCCGAGTTACTCAAGAGCTTGTTATTAGCGCCTGGTATATTCCGACAGAAGCAAACATACAAAATCACTTAACAGCGAAAGGCAACAGATGTCTAAATCTGGGACTGAAACCGAAATTAATAAACCAAATATACCAGAACTAGACACCAGTTGATATAGGGGAGATAACTCTAATAATTTCACTACTTTTTTTACTTCTGATAGTTTATGGTTTGAAAAGGTTCTCCAACAATTCAATTGAAATTGATCCATAATATAAAATAGTTACCTGCTCATATCTGGAGACTTGACATCCTTTTGACTTTCATTATAGGTAAACCTAACAACAGCGACAGGACAGGCATTCCGTGGTACATCTCTGACATTTTCATCTCCATACTCATACAGGTACAACTAGAACAGTTAAAATTCACTGCTGTAGTGTAGTCACTGTCAGTGAATTTTAAAAGAACATCTGAAGTGCAACATCATATTGTCCTTATATTTGTGGTTCAAACATAAACGAAATGTTTAAATACATACTAATCTCAGATATCAGCATTACATCCACCCATGTATTTCTGTATTTTCAAATATATTTTTTACATTATTTCAAATACTTCTTGCATCCCAATGGATTACAGGGAAATGCTTTTATTTTTATTTTTTACTTTCACATAAAAACACAATATACGAGTCATGTTCTAATCTATAAACAACATACCTGAGTCGACTCGTACAAGTTGTGGTGGTTCAGCGAGCCCAGGTCATTGCCGCTGGTTGAGGACAGGTGACAGTCAAAGTTAGGGGTGGGCTCAAGGCGACTCCCACTTCTGTTTTCCATGACTGATTTAATCTTTCCCTAATTACACAAGACGTATATATGATAGTCAGGGATATACATGCCACTGAATATTTTACAGTGAACAAACATTAATGGAGACTTCCATTTTGACATTAAATTTAATTGAAGTCATTGTGATACACTGATTTTGTAGACCTATGTATTGCACAATATACTGTTAACATGTACATATTTTAGCAGTATTCTAATTTACATGCTTAAATAATAGTCGCAAGTTAGGCAAAACATGTAAAATGAAAAAAAATACCTCCCTGCCTCATCTCTTTTGAAAAAAAATATGCCTGAGAACCAAATTTTCTTTTCATTTATCTCTATAAAATATGTACCTTCATGACTTTAAAGACAATGAGATGTCCAGAATGTCCCAAATTTAATCCAACTGGTTTCAAAATGTCAGCATGCTTACATAGATGAATTCCTGCAATGATATAAAGATTGTTTCAATAAAAATGAAAAATAAAAATACCATATATACAAGTATATGTAATTAAATTTGAATAATATGACCTACGGCTTACAGAAATCCTTAAGTTTGTTTGCTTACTTGGATATATGTGAACAACATTGAAGTGAACAGTGAACACAATTCTAATCATAAAGACAAGAGGCCCAAGAGGGCCTGTATCGCTCACCTGAATATTTAAGCAGTCATAGCAAAATATTCTCATTAAATATTATATTGCACTAAAAATATTTCCCTCGCAAACTTTGTTGGCTCCATCTGTTGAAACTACCAGCAAAATATTATTATAAGATTCTATGCTTTTTGATTCTTCTTCAGAAGTTGCTTGACATATTTTTCCCTGTGATCTTGTAAGTAGGTCAATGTCATTTTCCTTCTCAAATTGGTTAGCTCTATTCCAAAAAGCTACCAGCCAAATCTTATGAATCCATTCCTTTTAGTTCTCAAGAACAAATCCATTAAAATGTTGTTGACCTCTGTGACCTCTAAAGTAGGTTGAGGTCATTTTCATTTGCAAACTTTGGTGAGCTCTATCCCGGGAAGTCACCAGCCAAATATTATAATTTTATGCCTTTTAATTCTTCAGAAGAAGCTGTTTGAACTGTTTGACATATTTGAACGCTGTGACCTTGAAAGTAGGTCAAGGTCATTTTCATTCGCAAACTTTGTTTGGCTCTTTCCCAGGAAGCCACCTGCCAAATATTAAGATTTTATAACTACCAGTTCTTCAGAAGAAGTCGTTTAAAGTGTTTGACATATCTGCCTCATGTGACCTTAAAAGAAGGTCAAGGTCATTTTCATTCTCAAACTTTGTTCGGCTCTTTCCTAGGAAGCTACAAGCCAAATATAGAGATTATATACCTTTCAGTTCTTCAGAAGAAGTCGTTTGAAGTGTCTGACACATTTGACTCCTGTGACCTTGAAAGAAGGTCAAGGTCATTTTCATTCTCAAACTTTGTCGGGCTCTATCCAAGGAAGCCATCAATCAAAAATAAAGATTCTATACCTTTCAGTTCTTCAGAAGAAGTCATTTGAAGCTTTTGACATATATGACCCCTGTGACCTTGAAAGTAGGTCAAACTAGTTTTCATTCTCAAACTTTGTTGGGCTCTATCCCAGGAAGCCACCAGCCAAATATAAAGATTATATACCTTTCAGTTCTTCAGAAGAAGTCGTTTGAAGTGTTTGACACATTTGACCCCTGTGACCTTGAAAGAAGGTCAAGGTAATTTTCATTCTCAAACTTTGTTGGGCTCCATCCAAGGAAGCCATCAGCCAAATATGAAGATTCTATACCTTTTAATTCTTCAGAAGAAGTCGTTTGAAGTTTTTGACATATTTGACCCCTGTGACCTTGAAAGTAGGTCAAACTAATTTTCATTCTCAAACTTTGTTGGTCTCTATCCCAGGAAGCCACCAGCCAAATATAAAGATTCTATACCTTTCAGTTCTTCAGAAGAAGTCGTTTGAAGTGTTTGACACATTTGACCCCTGTGACCTTGAAAGTAGGTCAAGGTCATTTTCATTCTCAAACTTTGTTGGGCTCTATCCCAGGAAGCCATCAGCCAAATATGAAGATTCTATACCTTTTAGTTCTTTAGAAGAAGTCGTTTGAAGTTTTTGACATATTTGACCCCTGTGACCTTGAAAACAGGTCAAGGTCATTTTCGTTCTCAAACTTTGTAGGGCTCCTACCAACGAAGCTTTCAGCCAAATATCATGACTCTAGGCCTGTCCGTTTTTCAGAAGAAGTTGTTTAAAGGAAAAGTTGACGGATGATGGACGCCGCGCCACGGCATAAGCTCACTTTGCACTTCGTGCCAGGTGAGCTAAAAATAGCAGAATTAAGATAGAAAGCTGTCTAATCACACAACGCAGCATTTTGATTATAATTTTTTTGTTGGATTTTATTGATGAAATTGCTTCTTAATTACCGTATTTGATATAATAGGCAACAAACCCCCTCCCCTATATAATCTTCAGTCTTTTTGCCTAAAGACATTATGCCCTTTAGTGTTTATATTACTAGGCATTGTTAGCCAATGCTCTAGCACCCTCTTCTGATTCAAGATTTGGTCAATTGTCTCTGTTAAGTTATTTGATTTATCCTTTGAAAGATTACACAAATGTTTGGGAGGTCAGTTTGAATGCTGTTTCAGCCAGTTTAAGCATGGAAGGGGTTTGAGTGCATCTCTCTTGTGTTTTTGAAACCTCACAGTGCGCTTATTAGGTCAAAAACGGTACATCAAATTACAAAATTAGGTGTTTTTTATCTCCCTGAAAACATACCCATCTCTGGGTGTCCTAGACAAGAATCGTTACTGTTTCCTACATGAAGACCTTCTCTGCAGATTCTGTTGGTCTCTTCCTCGTTCTCTATGTCCATACATAGAAATGCAAAGCTATCCGATAGTTCCTTCTCAACATATCCACACCCACGCAGCTCCCTCCTCTTTTCCATATACTGAAAAACATGTCCATATATTATTACAAACAAATTATTGATTATTTCAGGTTGGTATCGGATAACAAGACAGATGATATCATACTTTCCGATTCATTGACTCCTATTGTAAATATTGCCATTTGGTATCGCATAACAAGTCATGAATATTAATGTTAAAAGTGTGCACAATATTGTTTTAATTAAACAAAACGTCAGAACAGAATAACTTCCTATTACATTATCACACGTGTCTCTTCCATTGTGTATTGTATTAACAAGGGTTAGGGTACACATGAACAGGGCCATGACAGGAAATTGTGTATATTTTTTCAAACTGGTCCGATGAAAAAAGTTACAAAATCAGAGGCCAAAGCAGATATGTTATCAACACATTTCTGATACAAATACATCAAACATCAACCCCCCCCACATTTTTTTAATTTATTTTTGGCTTTAATATCAATTATTGTTTACAATTAGAATGTTACTTGTTAGCAAATAAATCATCCAAAATATGTCAAAGGAGAATATTGTATAATAAATATAAAGAATATCGCTACAGATACTTCCTTTTAATGGATAGAAGACTTTGAATGATAAATACATATACTAAAATTTAAATGGCAGAAAAAACCTGAAAGTGGACCTGTAGTCTATAGGGCTGCATACATTTTAGAGATTGGATATAAAAGTACTACAGGAAAAGGCTAAGTGTGTGCAGTACAGAACTTGTACTGATAAAACATAAATTTGGGGAAAAGCCTCATGATAATGACTTAATATCAACATCTTTTCAGATCTGTTTAATGGACCATACTCACTCTCTTTTTATATTTTTCAGTCAGGACCGTTCCCATTTAATGAATGATAGGATTAAAGTGATACAAAAAGAAACAGTCCTCTCTTAATTTATCAACATTTGAATCTTCTCTTTTCTAGTTCTGCATATTTCAGAAACTTGGGACTTACTGCATCTGTCAGGTACGTGTTTTGAACAGTCTGGACTTGGTCGTAAACAAATCTTGAACTGGACTGCGGCTGGCGATAACTTTTGGTAATAGCTGGCAGTATCTCATGCTGGAAATCTCTCGAGCTCACCTTCACATCCAACAGTACATCTGCGGAAATAGATTATATTATCACAACCACAGTGATCCATCTACAATTTATTTTAATGAGTCCTTTTCAACTGTATTGCTAAAACCAATGAGTCCCACAATGTTAAATTGAACTGTTTCCAGAAATTCTGCGAGTCCCATCAAAATTCTAAGAGTATAGGACTCGGGACTCGCATGTAGATTTATCACTGCAACCAACATTTTTTTTTTAAATAATTTAACAGATGCAGTTCTTCAAATGGCATATGATGCACAGCGGGATTGTACCTTTCAAATATTGCAGTGTACAATCTGTTACATTGTACAGATCATGGGCCATATACAAATATTTCTAGTTACATAATATTCTGATAACACTAGAATTAAAGTCCAAGGTTATAAACAAAGATAATTGCTAACGGCGATAGATAGTACACAGTAGTAGGAACAGTAACAGAAAACAAACAGAAAACCATGATCATTTTGAATAAATTTTGACATCATAAAAACATGCTTGTCCATGATCACTATATTTCCCAGAGCAGGCAATGGTTGTCAGAGGGGGAATAGTAAGTCTTTTGACACACTTAACAATCAAAAGTGAAATTAAATTAAAGCAATCAAAATAACAGTAACGTTAACGTAATTCTTTTACGCAATTAGGAGAAAGTTAAAACGACCACCTCTGATGACTTATTGAATTTTAACATCATCAGCCAACATCAGCAGCCAAAACTTGTTTCCGTTCCGACAGATGTTCAGTTTTGTTCACATCAAGTATTGGCAACCGGCACTTTCCTGAATTCATACTTATTCGGAAAATTTACCGTTAGTACGTCTCTTCTTCTTTGGAATGACAAAGGGAGAAGGGCGCTCTTCCTTAGTTCCCGATGCTTTTTGCATGGTTGTTTCCTTCCCGCCATCTTGCTTGTAAACATTCGCATCGGAATGTGATTTCACCCATTCCGTACGCTTGTCGTCGCTGACATCCTGAAATTTCAACGGGTACCCATTCAAAATGTCTAAATGTGATCGGACAGATTCGGTTGGTGCATTTAACCTGTCAAACAAGTTATCCATAATCTTTGTTTTTTCGTTTCCGTGTCTTCATGTCTCCGTCTGTTTCGAGATTACACGTGAGCTCGAGGCACGCGAAATAGGCCTTTTCCATTGGTTAAAAAATTGAACAAAGGGAAACTACTCTATCATCTTTTTTCACCTTCTAAAATATAATAAGGTGTGCCCAAAGCCGATTCATTAGACGGTGTTTGTTTTTCTCAGAGACATAAAGCTTACACCTTTGAAGAATATACGTCTATGTTTTCTTGAAATTAGTTATTTGTACGATAATGTCATAGATCTATACAAAGATTTTATTTTAAAGAAAGTCAAGTGTAACTCAAAGTTTATCAAAATTATATGAGCGGAGACTTGGTTAATTTTGTTCAAACTGCCAAACCCTTCTAATCATTTATGTTTGTTTACTTTTTGTTTTTTTGTTTTTTTTGTTATATCAATAATTAACATGCTAAAATGTTTTCCTGTATGAAACGTCACATTAAAATCCTTTTTTGTTTGCAAAAATATCATTGCATATATATACGCTATTTTGTACAACAGGAGCAAGTATGCAGGGCAAAAATTTACAGAAGGACTTGGAGTGACACAGGAGAAAGGCAAATGCGGCACGAAATGTGACTGAACTTTAGAAAAGCAGAAGGATATGTGTGTATAGATTAGTTATACTACTTACGCCAACTCGATTGGGAAAATCCCACACGCGATCTCAAGTAAACTCTCCGAATACATATTTAAAAACTATACGTTTGTGTCCCTAATCCTATCATTACCTCTTTTGCTGTTCCCCATTTTTAACATCTTATATATATATACATATATGAATTTGTATTAGGTTATTACGTGACTCATTAATTTTGTATATATATTTTCTGTTACGGAAAGGACGTAAGTAAGTTGCAATAACTTTTGTCCAATCCATTTGTCTTTTGTTGCAATAAAATTTATTTAAACTAACAGGAGCTATCAACATCCGTAGAGGTTCCATAAAATATGCCCTTGTATGGGCAGTAGCAGGTCTAAACTTATAGACATTTTTTAGCACCAAATACTCTCTCATCACACTTTTCTTTCTTTCCTCTCCCTCTCCCTTATGCATGCACCAGTCCGCACTTTATCATTTCTATCTCGGTCACCACACAATACCTTTTAACATGCACAGACGCGCACGCTGCACATAATACTCGAAAGAGGGTGATGCAGAATATATATATAGATAGATAGATAGATAGATACACAATAATTATATTTATATATATTTTTTTTTGTATACCCTAATATTTTTACTTACCTTACGGAATTAATAAAAGCATTTGTTTTATGCAAATGAAAAACGTTTGATTTGGAAAATGTGTCTGTCAAATACTTGAATGGATGGATATCATTTCTACATGATGCTATTACGAAACATATCTGAATTTCGTTGTTTAATTATGGTCTTTGAATATGACTTGTAAAACGTTTTGGCACGAAATAAATCGTTACAAAAATGTAGGCCACCAACTCTTGCAAAACTGTGTTCAACTTTGAAATTTGTGTATCGGTCATAAATTTTAAACATAGTGCGTATTTTAAACAGGACTAACTTATAATTACATAACTTTTTTTTAATATCCTGCATGGTCTGGAAACGAGAAAAAAAACCCGAACTATTAAGAAAAAGAATCATCATATTTTGCCATCATTTACTGGAGAAAATAACCGTTACAAGTTCTGAATTACGATCAGTCTCGCTAATTGTTCTTTTATGTACGTTTGTAAATCTACTCTTCAAGTATATGCTCATCTGCTGGATATCCAAACTACTCGGTAGTTCAGCGGACGTAAAACCACTCAAACAACACACTCCACGTTACACGTAGCTGGAATGTTTTCGATTCTATTCATTCAAAACCTATTTAACGTCAAATACATAGTCGATCATACAAAACTCATGATGACGTTACTAACCTCTTAGAGCTACGTACATCATCTTGCCATTGTCAGTGCAGCTTGTACTACCATTGAATACTGTGACACTCTTCAATGGGTACGGTAAGAGTGCCATTTTTTAACAATGAATGGCGTATTTTTATGCAAAATATGTCTCATTACTTTGAACTGTTTTTGTTTGGTAATTTAACAGCTTATTTCAGATATATATGCAAAAAAGTATCAAATCCAGCAATATGTTGTTAATTATGATAGTATCCAATCTGTAAGCATTAAACTGCCTTTGGAAAGTTATTGTCCTCTATATTATCCTGTGAGAACTATAGGACAATAACTTTCCAAAGAAGAGTAGTTTAATATTTATACTTCCGATTTCAATTGAAGTTTTTCTTATATTTCCAACCTGTTATCGCATTTCAAAGTCTTTCGCGCTGTTTGTCAATGAGACCTGTTCTTGTGACATCACGAGTACACGCGACCGTTCCCGGCAAAAAATATAGTTCGTGGAAATAAACACAAAATCATCAATTTAATTTCAACAATTTAATCAATATATTCCACCGTGAAGATATTCACCTTTTACGCAACGTAACTACATAAATTGATGCGAGTTACATTGATCAATTTGAGTTTTTAATCCGGTAGCACGGATAGGTTACCACGAGGAATTCGTATTGTAAAAAAAATTCGTGACGTCTATAATACACTTAATATAGTGACGTCGGTCAAAACGACGTCACGAGCATGTTCTTCATATCACTACACCAATGGGAATGAAGTGAGAATTATAACCTGATATCTTTCTATTTTGTTTGGTAAGATGCGATGCAGAGCTAATGGAAATATAATACTATGTTCGTTTTGACTGCTGTCACGCGTTGTATAAGTTGTTATATAATTGTGCCTATGAAATCATGAACTGTTTTTATTTATAATATTTTCTCTCAAACCATGATATATTTGACGGCGACACTGCATGTGTATATCGCCGGGGCTTATCCTATTCTAGAGAACTACTCTTCGATGCAGAAGAATACTTTTTTTCTGAGATCAGTTAGAATATTGATGTTTAAGCTATATATGAATTTTGATTAAGCTCGGTGGTAGCAGGGTCTTATTATTCGTGGTGGGTTTCATAACTTGTTGTAGAAAAAGTTAAAGCTTAATTTTTAAAGGAGAATTCAATTTTCATGAGAACACAAATGGCATCACACATCGTTCTATTTATAGTAGCAACGAAAAAGTTTAACTTGTTGCTCTAAATCAAAAGCGCATAACTTAAATGTGTCTATGTACACTCTAGGGTGAAAATGTCTCCTTCAAATATCATTTTTTGTGTTGTTCTTTCAGATGAAATCATCAGATCTTAGAAAATATAAGTAGTTAAGCAAATTCGCTGGTTGAAAATGATCAATTAGGGGCCAAAATATAGGGAGAGTTGGCAAGTATGCACACAAGAATATGTAAGTTCGTTGTATTACAAAATAGAAATGAAGAAGCTTTGTTACTTACCATGAATCTGTTGTTAGCCACAGAATTATATATACATTTGTGGTACGGTAACCATGCTGTCTCTACATCGTCAGTATAGAGGCCCGGTACAGGTGCTGGTCAGTCTCTGCAGGAGGTCTTGTTTATTGAGGTTATAGGTCACGTCACACTCAGTATGACGTGTGTTATTTGGAGGGCTGTGATCTGACATCACAGACACACGTGACCATGTTAGTTACACAGGGAACATGTACGCGCGCATTTATCGCACACCTGTCAACAGATCATTGTTTGATCGGTGGGTGATTTATATTTCAAACCCTAGAATGTCTTTCGTCTGCATGATACGGTAATATAACAGGACGTCAGTAAGTCAATGACTAATTACCTATATCACGGACTTAAAAAGCAATCTAATTCCGTGCCTATATTGCCTATTGTATAGGTATGTCAATACGAGTCGACAGTGATTCAGCATCATTACCGTGTAACCCGCAGAAAATACGTTATGTAAAAGAAAAGTGTATTTTATCTCACTTTATTTTGTATACGTAAAATATTGAATGGAAATCCACATTTTCGATTTCCCCCCCGCATACAATATTGGTTATTAAGATATACATAACTCTAATCCAGTGGTTAAGGGGGTGGACATGCAAGACGTCTAAACTATAGTCTCTAAACAGCAGTATAGATGAAAATACATATTGTGACAGTTTTTCAAGTCCCTGTGATTGTTTTGATTAATTTCAACATTTTATTGTTTGATCGTATTTTTAGCATTTTTTACAGTCTATAAAAACAGTATATAATAGCAATTTAAAAACATCAGATATAAAATGATGAAAACAGACATTAGAATGTTGATTTTTTATAAGGCTGATGTGTGTTGTATTTACGGTTCGTGCTTTTATATCATATATTATTCAGCGTATTGAAGTGCTAGATTAAATCGAGTGATTAGCAATGAAAATAATCGTATTTTGTTTCGCAGTGTAACTTTTTTTTCTATAAAAATTATAACAAAGTAGGCCCCACTTATTTACCTAAGTATCTAACCTATAACTAGTTACAACTTCAGAGACCAGTCAAAATCGCACGGCCTAATAATAAACCGTAAGTTATATGCTTTCCCCCGCGTCAGCTGTTAGATTATGAACATATGCTTGAGGTGGATATTAGAAAATCACATTCAAAAATATTCTCAAGCCTAGAAATCCTCTCATATCCCATTTACTTTTAATTTGATGATAGAAAATCGAATATACTTTTGACTGGCCTCAGGCATAATGTAAATTTAGGTAACCAAATTCAGATTTGTTTTAATGTGACTGAATTCATTCACCATCGTGTAGCTGTGGTCCTCCCAAAGAAAATCCACAGCAGTATCTTCTGTCACGGGCTCAGATGTAATTCCGTTGTTCTGTCCTGCGCCAAATATAATGTTCAGTAGTTACCTAACACAAAATAAACCCCAAAAGTATCAACCTCTTCATGTTATGGTGAGACGAGGAGCTATCTGAGGACGAAAACTCACTTCTGTCCAAGATTGTTTCAGTATCGGCGTTTCTGTTGGATCCTAAAATTCTTATACACACTCTCCTCTTACTTTTCTCTCTGCAGTCAACTATCTGTTGTTTATCTTATA